CTTTTCTTTCTTGTTCAACTAATCACAGAATGAGGCTATATTAACTGAGTTGGAAGGCCATCTGGCTCCAGTGACTGCAGCTGAGTTTTGCACCTGGGAGAGAAATATGCTTATATCAGTCTCTGAAGACAGAAGCTTTAAGGTAAGGAAATTATACTCTACTTTTAACACATGTAGTCTATTGGAGTAAAATGGGCATTTCCCCCTTTAAATGTTTAACATAAGAATGGCCATACTGGGTCAGATCAGTGGACCATCTAGCCCAGTATACGATCTTCTAACAGTGGCTAGTGTTAGATGCTTCAGAAGGAATGAATAGAACATGGCAATGTATTTAGAGATCCTTCCACTGTGGTCTAGTCCCAACTTCTGGCAGTCAGAGGTTTAGGGATGCATAGAGCATGGGACTGAGTACCTGACCATCTTGGCTAATATCCATGGATGGACCTATCCTCCAGGAACTTTATTTCCCTTCTCTATACTTTTTCCAATTCTAATATATCTTTTTTGATATGGGACAACCTGAAATGCACAAAGTATTGATAGTGTGGCATTATATTTTCTGTCTGATTATTGATACTTTCCCTAATGGTTCCTAACATTCTGTTAGCTTTTTTGACTGCCACGGCAAATTGAGCAGATGTTTTCAGAGAACTATCCACAGTGACTCCAAGATCTCCTTCTTGAATGGAAACAGCTAATTTAGACCTGTCATTTTGTATGTGTAGTTGGAATTATGTTTTCTGATGTGCATTACTTAGCGTTTATCAACATTGATATTTAATCAAGATGATATAAAACAAATACCCATTGATCCCCTGCTCCTTAGTTGAACTGGTTGGGAATTTCCATCAAAATAATTTTTTTGAAAGAAAAAATGCAGTTTCCACAAAATCAGAATTTTCCATCAGCAAAATCTAAATTAAATATTTTGCGTCAGGTCAGTTTGACCCTAATTGAAATATTTCAGTTTGTTTAACTGAACCGAAAAGTTTGATGTTGACCAATGTGAAATGAAACTGCATCTTCCTATGCTGTTGCAGTGCCTCATGGGAGTTTTAGTTTGGATGCTTCATACCCCCATTTTCTCCTATGGGCAGGTTCCTTGGCCAGACTACATCTTCCATGATGCACTGTGGTCTGCCCTTTGATCAAGTTACGTGATAGGGAAATGTAGTCTGGCTGGGGAGCCCAACCCATAGGGAAAAATTGGAGCATGAGACAGGTCCCACGAGGTACTGTGTTACCTGAGAAAGATGCAGTTTAATGTCAAACTAACTCTCAACATAATGTTCCAAGTCAGTTAAACACACTGAAATAAAATGTTTTGTTTCATTTCATTTGGACATTTCTGAATAAAATTCTTTTGTAACTTTTTGTTCAGTGAAAATGTTTGTTGTTTTGACTTATTATTGCTTCTCTGCTGTCAGTGGAGCTCTCATTTTAGTGTCACTGCGCCAGAGGGCTGGGGCGAGTTCCTTGCACTCTTCCAGGAAAGTGGCCTTGCGCATCCCAAAGTTCTGCAGCCAGTGTTCGCTATAACGATGCGATCCTACCAGTCAGTGCTTGTTTCTTGGGACAAGAACTGACACTCCACTGTGTTCAGCTGCTCCATGACTGTCAGCAGCAACCAGGAATTGTTTCTTTCCATGGTTTCCAGCAGGATCTATTTGAAAGGAATTGTCATATTCTGCATGGTGACTCCTCTAGCGGCTCTGGAAATACTGGAATCAGGCACGTGGTGTTTGCAATAGTGAAGAACTGTGTGGGATTCATGCTTCTGTAGAGATGGTGAACGCGTGGGTTTGATAGGCTTTTGAAAACAGGCACGAAATATGGGCTGTACAAGAACAGTGGGATAGCTACCCAAGGTAGCTCTCTGCATCATTGAAAGCACTGCTAGTGATGATGTGCTCCACCGACACAAGGACCGTAGCATAGACATGCACAACCAACTTAGTTTCTGTGGTGGCTGTGTGTTGACTTGACTTAACTAAGTCGACTTAATTTTGCAGCGTAGACATGCCCTGAGTGTTCTAGTGAAAATTGTTTTTTGATTTAGCTGAGTTAGGAAACTTTGAAAATTGTATTTTGTAGTAAAATTTTAACTATAACGTGCTATGTCATTTCTTAAGGAAGCTTGTGACTTGCATTTGTGCATGGCTAGCTTAGGCTTTGTCAGCACCCAAAAGTTGTACTGATTTTAACTAAATTGTTTTAGAAACTGGTTAAACTGGTGCAAGTTCCTTGTGTGGCCACTCCAAAATCCGTTTGAATGTCTTTATGTTGATTTAGCTTAAGGTGATGAGGATCTGACATAAGTTAAATGATATAAAGCATTCTTAAACCCATTTAAATATGTCCTCACAAGAGGATAGCACTAATTTAATTAGTTTCTAAAATGATTTAGTTAAATTTGTCTATACACACGTTTTACCAGGCTTAAACTGTGTAGTGAACAAATGCATCTCATACGGAGTATGTTGAACAGAACCCTGTCTAGTCATTGCCTTTTTTAATGTCTGTATTTCTCTAGATTCATCACTTGATGTAGATTTATAGTTTATATCAGTTTGCAGTGTTTTACTTTTTACTTCAGATATAATTTTCTTATAATTTTATTTTTCATAATTATCTAAATAAATATTTACATTTTAATGTACGTTTTTTCCAAAGGTTTGGGACTATTGTACTGGATTGCTAATATACCAATCAGCAGTGTTAACAGGTATGGTTTTCTTTCTTTGTATGCCTGCCTTTGAAAGGAAAGCACCTTTCACTCTAAGAAAAAAATAAGTGTCCACCTTTGTGGGTTGATATACTCAAAATAGCACAGTTAGCCGGTAAGTACTAGGCCTTAATTTGCAAATTTGAAGTCGGTGGGAACTGCAGCATCCCTGAAAATATGGATTTAGTGCCAAGTTAGAAATTTTTGGCCTACTTGCGTAAAATATAACTTGCCTAACTAAAGGTATTGCATGTGCACATTTTATCTGTGTTAGTATTAGTGACATGCTTGAATTAATGCCGTCTCATTTAGAACATATAGGTATTTTATGTTATACTAGTCCCCATTATATCTGAGCACCTTGTTCTTGTCATTCATGAGATGTTATGTATGGCACAAGGGAATCTTCCCATTGTGTGTGCATACTGTAATAGCTTTTACATAAATGCTGTGTTAATATTTTCTTAGGACAATCACAATACATGGCATTTCCATGCTATTTATGCTCATTTTTATTCTAATTAGGATACACACATGATGAAAGGAGCTGTTTTGTTTTTTTTACCACAATTTGAGAAGGCACATTAGCATGTGCTTATGGCCCATTGACTGAATTGGCACCATATTTTTAAATATAAAATCTGATTTATGTGTATTATAAAAATAACTGCATTTTTTTTAAACAGCATTTCCTTTGCTAAGTCTGTTCATTGATGAAGAAAATAAACAGATTATTACAGGATGTGCTGATGGGCAGGTGAGAATTAAGCAAATGCTGTAAACATTAATTTTTGTCAAAATATCAAAACATTTAGGAACATCCTGTGTATCAGGAAGTGTCACAATCTCTGTATTTGGAATTGTTACAAAGACAACTTTAATTAGCATAATTCACTGCTCTAAACCTTAATTTTGATTACTGATAGCATAGAACTGAGCTTTAAAACTAAATGGAAAAACTTTTCTAAATACATTGGTGAAGCTGTTTAAAATCACATATCGGTAATAGAATATACTGTGTATGCAGACTGAGAAGTTGCAAATTTGTTTTAAAATGAGGTGTGAAAATCAATTAAATTTTTTATTTATTGGCCAATCAGCATAACTCTAAGCTAGAAGTATATGGGCGAGTCTTGCTGGGAATCTTTGCAAATTGAGATCTGTGGTAATTTGTAGTTTAGTCAATCTTTAAGATTGTTTTTTAAAAAACATCTTGCTATAGCCATAAAATGCTTTATTCACCCACTGCACCAGTTCAGAGTAGTGTGGATAAAATGAAAGGCTAGACTGTTGTAGTGTCCTGAAAGTGTAAGCAATAAAGGACATATATGAGCCAATGAGATATCGCATGCAAGTTTCCAAAGGTTTCTATAACATTTTATAATCATTTCAAAAAGATGATGGGGGAGATTTTCAAAGGTACAAACAGCAGTTAGACACCTAACTCCCATTGAAAGTCAATGGGGGTTAGGCTTCTTACTGCCTTCTGGCCGTTGAAAATCTTCCTTGGTATTGTTAAAACATGAATACATGTGATTGATGTTTTGTGTTAAAATTCTGCACTTGTGATATTAAAATTTCCTAAAATATGCTGTTTAAGCAATGAGATGCTCCAGTGTGAGGGGTAAATGGTATTAATTTGTTATTTAGTGTTTTATCAGCCTAATTATTAACTCCACACTGTGAATGAGTGTTATCGTCAGTGTCAAAAAACTAATGCTGACTGATTCTGTCCTCCTCCTTCAGCTTTGGATCTTCAGTTTGCTCAGTGGACATCAGTACCGTTGTGTGGTACATATAAACTTAAAGAAAGAGCGAGATAAATTCTACAGCAAAACAGGAAAATCTAGACAACAATTAGGTATTGTGATGTTTCTAGAACACTTTTCTATGTTATGCTTTCATTCATATTGTATGCTACTGAATGTATTCTCTTTATAACCACCATTAGTTGAATTCTGCCCTCAGATTTTCATGTACAGTTCTCACTGAATTCAATAGAAGTTAAGCACGTGTATCTAGGAGGACAAAGGTTGCCCTTTGTGTATATCAAATGCTGTACTTTGTGGATTAGATACTGTTCTCATTGAAGGCAGTAAGAGATTTACCAGAGGCTTGAAAGGAGAGGAGAATTGGGTCCTGTTGAGTTGTCACTTGTATAACTGGAATAAACATTTGTTAATTCCTCTGAAGTTCTAAGAATCTTTATTTGTGCTATTTGCTTTTCCTCCCACATCAGTGTCTCTATGGCATAGTGACTGTTTCCATCTGATAATGACAGGACTAGGTTTCTGAGACCAGTCACCCTAAAATAGCAAAATAGAGTGGTGGTGTTTCAGAGAGGGATGAGGTATTTCTAGTGTGCTGGCTCTGGTATTCCCATCTGCTGGAGCAAAGGCCTCTAAATGTGATCCCTCTTCATGCTAGTACATTGTGCTACCACTGTGCTAACCTTTTTACTTCTTTATTCCATTTCAGTCACTTTTGATCCATTTCACTAGTCTGATAATAGTCAATGTCTGTCTTCTTTAGATCAAATACAGAAGTTTTCTAAGCTGTACCTCACAAATGACAGGAGACCAGAAGAAACAGTGGAAACAACATTGCCAGTCCTCAGAATTGAACACTGTGACCAATCAATAAATTTAGGCAAAGAAGAAAACTTGTAAGTGCAATAAATTATCATTGACTATTTGGCTGAAAACCGTGCCCAGCAATTTGATTTTGGCTCTCAAATTACTTTAATTGCAGGTTATTCTAATTTCATGATACAATAATAACATTAGTTTGTTCATTCAGTGAGATGCAAGCCCTAGTAATTTATTCTTACTTAAGCGGAATATATAAAATAAATTAGCTTCTACTCTGAAAAGTAATTCTTTTTTTTTAAAGAGGTATTATGAGATTCCATTTTTATGATAAAAAGCAACAGAGAGTCCTGTGGCACCTTTAAGACTGCCACTGCACACTAAGTGGATGTTTCAGACAACTATCCACAATGACTCCAAGATCTCTTTCTTGAGTTACATGCGTAAGTAATCTTTCCATTACATGCGTCTGACGAAGTGGGTATTCACCCACGAAAGCTTATGCTCCAATACATCTGTTAGTCTTAAAGGTGCCACAGGACTCTCGGTTGCTTTTTACAGATCCAGACTAACACGGCTACCCCCGATACATTTTTATGATCTCTCTGTTTCCAAATCAACAGTGCTCTGTTTGCAGATTAAAAAGAAAAGAATCTTTTACAAGTACACTTCTACCCCGATATAACGCGACCCGATATAACATGAATTCGGATATAACGCGGTAAAGCAGTGCTACGGGGGGACGGGGCTGCCGGATAAAAGCAAGTTCGATATAATGCGGTAAGATTTTTTTGGCTCCCAAGGACAGCGTTATATAGGGGTAGAGGTGTACCAGCACTGCAAACTCATCTTGGTATCTAAAAGTCATGCTTGGTTCTTTCCTTCTCACGCATTGCTGACAGTGAGAAAAGTTCTCCAGGCCAAACGGTGCCCATGGCAACACTTGTGTAATCTCATTGCTCTCAGTGGGGCTGTAAAGGTGTAACTCACTGGCCTTGCAGTTGGACTCTATAAACTATTTTGTTGATGTACAAAAAGGAATAGAATCCAGCTGCCTCTCTGATAGTTTTATTTTCTCTGCCGGGTTACCAGCAGTGAAAATAAGCTTTTGCTAAATTTTATCTCTATTTGGAATAAATTTTTTTTAAAATGTTGATCCAGCTGTTTGTTTATTTTGACATCAAAACATTGTTAGTCTTTGTCATAAACAAGTTTTTATATTTTTCCTAAGCACATTTCTCATTCTTTGGGATTATTGCCTTGCAGTTCAATTATAGCTCTTTCCATAAGAGCAGTGGCTGAAATTGCAACAGATCAATCTGGTCCCTTGCCTTCTGTGTTTGAGTAGTGGATTTCATTTTATAAAATTGCCAGTGTTACTGCCTTAACACACATGTGGACATTCTAGGTTTGTTCTGGCCTTGTTAGGGTGGCATTTTCCTTAATTCATGCCAGTTCTTCTCTTCTCATATCCTGATTATGTCCAAAGATATCTTTAGTTAAATTATCTTTGCTGGGTTCACGTTATAGGTGGGTAAAATTAAGGGAATATATGAATATGCATAGTGTTTGCATATATTCTTTTTATATAGAGATTTTACATTGTTCCTCTCAATTATTGCAAAATGCAATAATAATAAAAAAAAGCTTACTGTGTTATTTTGGTTTAGCACTGTCAAGTGGTGAAATTATATTCTTTATTTTAAATTCCATTTTAAACCCAGTTTGGTGCTCTTACCCCCCCGCTCCCTCCACCCCCCAAACTCTGGTAGTGGCACAAGGAGGGGAATAAACAGAAAGAGAGCAAATCCTGATTATTATTTTTTTAAATAGATAATAGCAGGCCAGATTCAGTCATCCTTATTCATGTTGAGTAGTATTTTACTGAACAAGTAGTCTCAGTAATTTGGTGTTAGAACACCATTCAGTCTTTCATGGTTGCCTTCTGTTTTTTCCTATAATTTTGAATGCGGTCTTGGAGCATCATTGGTTTTATTTTTATTTTTTTTGCTGACTTTATTACTACATTTTCACTGATTACATCTTAGACTTTTAATTCCTGAAGTATTGGAAAACTGTACAATTTTCTCAGTCTTCCTTTTAGGGTCTGATAGAAAGCCCATTGATGTCAGTGGAAAGATTCCCTAAGCCAGTTGGCTCTGGATCAGATTCTTAATGGGTGGTGCTGAAGGAACTTATAGTTTACTCTGAAAAGCAAAATGATAAGTGCAGATCTGACAAAGCACCCAGTCTAGAAAAAACACGTTGCTATTAAATCTTCAATTTCATGTGTAAAAATGTATGTTAGTGAGGAAGAGAGTGGTCCACAAAGATCCACCAAAAACATGTGCATTTTGACTGCATTGCTTTGATATTATTGGAGGAATGAGAGAACCTGGAGAAGTTTGGGATTTTACTAAGAAGGTTTTGCAAAATATTTGAGAACTTTCTGCAGGAAAATATTTTCCCCACAGGGTATAGTTCTTGCCCCTATTTTATTTGGCTATTACAATGCACATATGACAACTTTCTGTACTCCTTAATGGGTCTTGCATTTATTGTGGTTCACTAAAGTGTATGCAGCAATATTAATACTTAAGAATTATTTGTAAATGAACGTTAGATACATGTACATAGAAAATATCCTAAATATTAAGCAAAAGAATTCAGAAAATTTGGCAGAGCACCTTATAGTTGCTTGGTAAGAACAACATTGTGACAGGATACTAGATATCTGAGTTAGGGAGTAATGCCAGGGCTATTGGTCACAGGATCAGTGGAGATCATATAGGTTGTGTACTAGAAACTTTGTGAAAGAGAAACTGGTGGTTGTCTGCTGTTTTATTAACCTCTTATTAGTCTGACAGTAGCATTCACAAATGTCTGTTAGATAAACCTGTTTAGAAACTGAAATTCCTGTTGTGCGAGGAATTCCAAAATGTCTATATATATTTTAAGAATCAGAACAAAAAAAAACAAAAAAACCCCAGACATTTTGAAACTTCCTGCAGAACGAAATCCCCTAATTTGGTTTCAAATAAATTGAAATGACATTCTGTTTTGACATTATCTACATTTTATTTCAATACTATCAAAATCATTTGGTTTTGACTGTCAATTAGACTTTAGTTATATATGTTTATAATATAATATAAAAGTCTCAATGAGTATTTTGACATGTCATAATATAAATATGTTTATGATTATATTATATATTTTTATATAAATTGCTAACTGGTAATTAGTACTGCAATGGCTACTTGGTATTAGAATTAGTAATTGATATTTAATTGTTTTTAATTGGTACTTGGTTTGTTCAACCGGTATTCTACCTGGTCACTTGTAATGGGTCTAACTGGTATTTTGTTTAGTAATTGATAATTTTCTGTTATAGTTGGTATAATATAGAAAAACAGGGAGCCCACCCAGAAGCCAGCCAGCTAGAATTCTGGGGCAGCCTGCCTGCCAGGTGGGCATCTGGGGAGCCAGGCAGCATGCCCACTAGGTGGGCAACTGGGGAGCAGGCTAGCTGGGGATTCTGATTTTCTGCCAACCTGCTTACTCAAGTGGGCAGGTGGGAGGCAGATCAGGCAGGCCAGCTTGCCAGCCTATGTGGCTTCCACTGAAAATGTTGACAGAACTGGCATGTTTCCTTGGAACATTTCAATTCCATCAAATCAGCATTTTGCAATGGAAAATTTCTGACCAGTTCTACTCTTAGGATGTCACTCCACGAGATAAGAAACTTCCCAGTCATAGTAATCTGATTAGGAGGAAGACTTAAAAATAAAAATACATTAGTAGAAATCTTAAAAATACAAAAAAATTACCACACTGTAACTGTTATATTTCAGGAATTGTAGTAAATGTTGATTCACCACCATAAAAGAAACAAATACATAGAAGCAAAAAGTCCATATTAAAAACACCATCTGCTTTTTCCCATTCATCTTTTCTGTTTGCTTGTACTGTATTATGATTAGTTTGGCTTCTCTCTTTCAGAACCTAAACATTTTGAGCCGTTACAGAAAATCATAAATATTTCTATTCTTACTTCTCAAAGCCTGTCAACTTTTCTAATTTACTTGTATTTTCAAAAAATCTCCATTTAACATTGTAATGCCCAGTTTCATTTTTTTGGGATGCAATTTTTCTTTGTTTGTGTGGTGGTGGAATGGGGAATAGAATGCTTGAACAAAGCAGATTGTGTGTATCTTAAGTGATAAAAAGGAAAATGTACAGATAACTCTTTTTCTTCCGTTTACAATTAGTTTTCCTGCTGTAAATGCCAGATGTTTGTGGATAGGAAGCTCTACTGGTTTGTTCATAATTAACTTGGCAAACTTTGAATTAGAAGCTGTTTTACATTATAAAGGTATGATCATAAAATATTTAATTACAGTTTGATATGATTCATAAGTATTTATTTTTTTCCCCTCTGATCTGATGTGAATGATATAAGGATTTGTATGCAAAAATGGTTGCATAGGGCTGAAAGCCAGGGCTCCTGATCAATACGTGGTTAGAATTCACATGCTGTCCCTTTTCCTAGTTGTGCTGATCAGTTGCACTAGCACACTGTTATGTAATGATTAGTAATGAATTTGCATCTAATTTTATAATTTATTTATGATTATTAGACATAAGGGCTTTGTTCTGGTTGCACTTTTACTGATGTAAACTGGGAGTATCTTTATTGAAGACAATGGAGTTACACTGGTGTAAAATTAGTACAGAAGTGATTTGCACCCAATATTTTCTCTGATTGAATTTCCTGTTAAAAAAGGGACAATACCATTTTACAATTTTTCTGGTAAAGATTACAGTGGCCTCACCATTCAGTTTGCTGGATCATGCGCATTAATGAGGAAGGCAGTTAATGGGAAGGTAAGCACACAATTACTATGTTTATTAAACAAGTTATTAAGTATTCAATAACTTTCAGGTGAATGGTGCAAATACTGTTCAATTACTTTTAAACTTCTCTGCTTTATTTTCTAAAGTTTTGTTATCAAAATGTTGAAAGCATGCTGAATAAATTTTGTTTTACTTGCTGTGAATTGTATAGTACTTTTACTGAAGGTGGTTGATGATTCCACTGTATAGTCAATGAGTAACTTTAAAATCCCCACCACGTATATACTATTATTAGTAACAAAAACTTAAATAGATTTTTCTAGTTTTTGATATGAACCCCAGAAAGTTATGTCAGGAACAACAAATGAGGCAGGTGCAGGTGCTCTGGTGAGGAAGAAGACATAAGAAGTCTTCCTCTCTCTTTCCCAAACAGGGCCGGCCCACAACATTTTGGCACCTGAGGCGGGGAGCTCAAATGATGCCCCCATTCCCCCTCGCTTGGGCCAAAACTTTGAAAGGTCTCAATTCTGCCTTCTTCCTATTCTACTCCTCTCATGGTACTGCTCTGCTACCTCCCCAATAAAGGAGAACTAACAACTTAAAATGCCTTGTTCAAAAATGTTAAGTAACACCTGAACAGCAAATGTAACTTTTCTTGTCTGCATAGTAAACACTGGCATTTTTATCTGTTTGAATAATCAAAGTGATGCTTTCCGTGCCTTTTTGGTTGCGAAGATTTGAACTGCTTCCTGAAGGTCCACAGTCTGGGCCAGCTCATGCTCTATTGAGATGGTTGCAAGGCCAACCAGCCTCTCCTGTGTCATTGTGGAGCGTAGATGTGTTTTTATTAACTTCAGCTTGGAGAAGCTGCGTTCTCCACTGGCAACTGTTACAGGAAGTGTTAGAAGTATGCGCAGAGCAACAAAAGCATTTGGAAAGAGGGTGGTCATCTTATTTGTGTACATATATTCCAGAACAGCCTTTGGAGTTGATCCTACTGAAATGTATCTTGAAAGGGCTTTCAGTTCATCACCTAAATCACTCGCATTAATATCACGCATGTCATCATGTGTCAACACTGTCTCTAGTGACCTGCATTGCTGGTGTAGGTCTTCTTCAGGTATAGTGAGGAGTTTTGGAATATCATACAACATCCCAAATATACTGCTGTGTTCCTTGAGCTGCATGAAACAAACATTCTTTAACTGACTGTATTGCACAATCTAGCACCTGGTTAAAAAATTCAACTTTGAATTGTTGTTTGGGGTCTCTTATGGGATTATCCCGTGCCTCATAATCAAAATGTCTTCTTCGGTGACTCTTGTATTCTTGAATGGGTGGGAAAATAGCTTCAGTGTGAAGTTCCTCTGCCAACTTCTGTGCACTCTGTAGAACGTTTTGAAATCCCTCATCTGACCGGTAAGACTGTAGGTATGACTTTGCTTTGTCCAGTTGTTCCATTGCTCCAGATATATCAAGGTCAACACCTTGGAGTCTCTTGCTTACAACATTTATTTCAAACACTATGTCATGCCACAACACTAAGCCACACAGAAATTTGAAGTGATGTATGTTTCTGGTGATTCCATTTCCCTCTGCCACTGTTCTCCCACGAACAGTTCCTGTCATAGCATTATCCTCCATAATGGCAACTATGACATCCTCTATCTTCCCAATTTGGTGTTTGATAGGCTTTATCGCCTCCACTCGACTTTCCCATCATGTGGCACTCAGTGGTTTCAGTGTCAGAGAGGATGTTCCCAGATGTTGCTTCAAAATTTGCCATCAATGAGTTGATGCAGAGAAAAATACATATATGCTTTGAATTACATTAAAAAATTCAGCAGCCTCACTAGAAGCTGATGCTGCATCACTGACCACCAAGTTCAATGAAGGAGAACTGCATGGAACAAAAAAAGCTCGAGGGTTTAACTCTGGGATCCGTGTCTGCACTCCTCTGTTCTTTCCTCTCATGTTGGCACCATTATCGTAGCCCTGACCTCTCATGTTAGCTATCTCAATTCCCATATCTTCCAGCTTTTTAAGAAGCAAATTTGTCATACCAGCTCCTGTAGTATCATCAATGTCAATAAATTCTAGAAAATGCTCTCTGACAGTCACCATTGCAGGGACATTTTCACTAGGTTCTGTTGTTGTTGTTGTTGTTGTTACAAAATGCACCATTAAAGTCATTTGTTTCGTCTGGCTGATGTCAGGTGTGCAGTCCAGAATAACAGAGTAATATCTTGCTGACTTCAGATCTGCCACAATCTTCTGTTTGACTTTTGTTGCCAGAAACTGTATGATCTCATTTTGAATTGTTTTTCCAAGGTAGTGGTGTGTGTACATTTCTTGGGTGGTGACTCTTCTTAGATACTCCTGGAGAACAGCATCAAATTCAGCCATCAGCTCCATAATTTTAAGGAAGTTTCCATTGTTTGGCACATACAGCTGATCTGAAGTGCCACTCAGTGCTAGGTTTTGGGTAGCAAGCATTCTTACAATGGCAATGAGCCTTTTCAGAACATTTTGCCAGTAAAGAGACTCTGATGCAATCTTCTCTTGATGCTGATCATCTATAGTGGCCTTTAACCTTAGTCTCATCTCAAGCTCTTTCCACCTATGGAATGCTCTCTGGTGATTTGCTGCCTTCTCATGGCATGCCAGATTTCTAGCCAGATTTTTCCAGTCCTTTGTTCCTGTAGAACCCAGTGTGGCTGGAACATTCTACTGGAACAGTTTGCAACAAAAACAGTATGCAGCATTCTGGGTTTTTGAGTACATAAGCCATGGCCTCTCCACTTTGTCACCATTGGGGATTTCATGCCAGTAATGTGTTGGATGGAAACTTCTATTTTCATTGTCTTTGGGGAACATGAAATTTTTCACTTGCTGTGGCCCATGCAGTACAAGGAAGTCCCTCAGGCTACTGCTCAAGTGGGTCCACAGTCCTGGATCATCTAGACTTAAGGAACTAAACTCAGCACAGCTGTTTCTTGCGCCTCCACCACACTCTTCTCTGATCTACTCTTTTCTTCAGGAATGTGCATGGTTACATCCATTTGAGATGGAGATATGGATGCTGCAGTAGCTGCCATGTCACCTGCACTCTGACTAACTTGACGATCAGGCATCTCCTCACCGTTCACATCCTCACTGGGGCCGGAAGGCTCCCCGTGAACATCTGTGTCTATGTATCTCAGGAGAGCTCCTTCCAGCTTAGATAGAAAAGCTTCCTTTGCTTTCTTTCTTTTTCTGAATGCTGCCCCAGAGGGGCGTTTTCTTCTTTCACTCATGACTGCTGTTCTGTTCAGCTACAGTGACTCTCAACACTCAATTGAAGGGGACAAATAAGCAGGCTGGTAGGAGGGCCTGAGTGAGGGAAGATATCAGCGTCTTAAGGGCCTAACTGGCTCCTACTACTTCAGTTGACTGTTCTCCTCAAATGGGTTCAGGGAAGCAGCAGGAAATGGGAAGCTCCCTGAGAAGCTGGTGTTAATCAGTCCAGGCTCCTGGGGGTGCTAGAGAGGTACATAAGAGGCTCCTCCTCCTCCTCGCTCTCCCTTCAGCTCCTGCTGCTTTCTGTTAGTCCTGCTCACCTTTTCTCCTGCCTACCTGTTATGTCTCTTGTGCCCTCCTTCCTCCAGCACAGCACTCCACTATCTCTGTGCATCTAGACCAGAGAGGATACATATGCACCACCAGGAGACACAATTTTCTACACTCGGGGTCCTAGTGGCACCCTCCCCACAGTCTGACACATGAGGTGGCCGCCTCAGTTTGCCTCATGGTAAGGCCAGCCCTGTTCCCAAGCAAGCTGCAGGGCAGGATCCCTTCCAATCCTTTTGAGAGAGCTCTGAAAGTTATTTGATGATGTGGCAGCTTGTGCACCACATCAAGAAAGCATGACCTGTTACTTAGGGCATGTGAGTTTTTCCTGCTGGTATGGCCTATTTGCTGCAGTGCTTGTTGCCCACAGGACTGTGAACTGAGCCAAGGGCCTTATTCCTACTTAAAAACAGGAGCGTTTTTGTTTTAAAGATGACTTCTGCTCACTCATCCCTGCAGCCCAGGATCTTGATATAAATTCACTTCCTTGAAGACCCACGGAATTTCCTCCTAGATACACTTCCTTTTCATGCTACTTTTGTGGTATCAGGATTGTAGAGGGGGTTAGAGTTCACACTTCACCCCAGGTATGCAGGCCAGTTTGGGGTGCAATTAAGTTCCTTAACCAGTTTGAACATATGTTTAGGAAGACAATGGCTGCCCTCCTGAGTACTGCTTAACCCTTTGATTTTATTCGGGTGGATCTAATCCATCTAACAGTTACTGGTTTATTTGCAGTTTTCATGAATGGCATTGAATAATCCCTCACTTTCTGCTGTCATCAATAATGTTTATCTAGAGTTATAGCTTAATTTGAAGTGAGGGGAATGTTACATCATGGTCTTGTCACTGCAGGTTTTCTGCTTGCTTACCTCGATGTTTGAAAATACGATTGCTTTGCTGGAGATTAACCTTGCTGCTTTGATGAGATCTCAGCAGAGTGATTTTCTCTTATGTGGAAAGGAGAAGAGGCTTTCAGTTATTGCAAGGTATGCGATGGTTTCAGATATTTCATGGTTCTAGTAGTGTCCCCATAGGTGCTCCACTTCAGATGTGTTTATATTCCATGAACCTTTGATCAGAGATTTTTGGTGGCAGAGCCCATCTGGCCCATGCGTGCACTCTACACATCCTCCAGCCCGGCACTGAGACTATATAGGGCTGTGCAGTCGAACCACCCTCAGTTCCTTCTCTGCTGCTTCGTCCTGAGACAGATTGTTAGTGTGCCTTTCTGTTCAAAACTACAAACTAATTACCCTTCCTACTTATCTATGTACCTAGTGAGCTAACTAGCTTGTATTTTGAAGGGTTAGTCTTAATTCCTTCCCCCTTCTCCTCAGATCACTGTTGCTCTAGAGTATGCCAGGCTCTCTAGGCTTCAAACGGTGCCTCTCTTGCCAGAAAGCTCTCCTCGTCAGTGACGGATATTCCCAGTGCATCTGCGGCTTGGAGGAGTCATATGTCCCTCAAAAGTGCTCCGTTTGCTCTGCTTTCCTAGCTCTGCCTGTAAAGAATTGAGAGATGAGACTCTGACTCTTAATGGTAGAACGTTCTCTCCATTCAGTATCAGATCCAGGCCAGCACCTCCCCCCGGCCATCAGTTATAAGATTGGGATACTCCATCCATTTTTCCTCCCTTCCTGCTGTCCTCTTTTCCCCCCCCTCCCCTGTTGCTCATCAGGGACTCCTCTAATGAGTCATTCCTAAATCAGGAAGTTGACTTCCTTCTGCGTATAGGAGCCATAGAAAAGTTCCAGTTCAGCACAGAAGGGAGGGGGCTTCTACTCCAACTGTTTCCTGGTCCTGAAAAAAAACGGGGGATGGAGACCGGTTTTAAATCTAAGACTCCTAAATAACTTTTTGAAATCTCAAAAATTCAAGATGACGACTCTCTCACTCTCTGATAATTCCATCATTATAACTGGGGTATTGGTTGTCGGCCCTTGATCTTCAGGACACCTATTTTCATATCACCATTCATCCATCTCAAGCGATTCCTTTGCTTTTTGATGATCAAGATCACTGTCAGTATTGAGTGCTCCCATTTGGTCTCTCTTCTGCCGCCAGGGTGTTCTGGAAGATGTTAGCAGGGGTTGCAGCTTACCTCGAACAACTGGGGATAATTATATGTCTGTCTAGATGACTGGCTACTCAAGGGCCAATCTTCAGTGAGGTTCTCTCTGCAGTAAGGATGGCAAGGTCCCTGTTCTGTGAGTTAGGGTTGCAGGTCAACATCAAGAAATCTATTTTGACCCTGGTGCAATGGGTAGAGTTTATAGGCGCCTCCTTAGATGCAATATCAGCCAGGGCTTACCTGCCCACTGTCAGGTTCCTGATGTTAACAGCTTTAATCTCAAAGATTCAAATCAGCCCACAGACATCAATAAGAAATTTTCTTCAACTGCTCAGACACATGGCAGCATGTACCTTTGTGACACTTTGTGCCAGGCTACACCTTTGATGTTTCCAGGGCTGGCTCAGGACTATTTAGACTCCAAACAAACACAGTCTGAGCAAGCTGGTGTTGGTCCCTTGTCAAGTTTGCGATTCTCTCGGTTGATGGAAAGACCCAGACAAGGTCTGTGTGGGAGTTTCAGGACTACAAGTGAGAGTTGGACTCTCAGATACTCAATCAGATCTTTGACTTGGGGAGTTCCAGATATAGATCTGTAACACGAGCGGACTCACCCCTGCAGCGCCTCCTGCTGGTCTCTCAGGGAATTAGCTCGACCCAGCCTCCGGAGCGCCCTCTGCAGGCCGGTGATCTGCCTTGCTCTCTACTTCTGGGCCCCATGTCCCTCCCAGGACCCCGGTGCCCCTTGCTCGGGATGCTGCGCCCTGGCAGTACCCACACGCTAGGTCTCCCCTCCCAGGGGAACCCCACCCACTAACCCTACCTCGCCTCAGTGTCAGGCTACTGCCAGTCACCATCTAGCCCCACTCCCTGGGGCAGACTGCAGTATCAGCCTACTCATCACAGGCAAGGTTGGGTTTGGGCCTACTGCCTTGGCCTATCTCCGGGCTTCCCTCTGCAACCCCCAGTACCTCCTGGCCTAACACTAGGCCGCAGCCTGGGGCTTTCCAGGCTGGAGCTCCCCAGCTCCCCAGCCCTGCTCCACCCAGGTACTCTGCTCTAGTTCCCTGCAGCCAGGCCCTTCTCTCTCTGCACTCAGAGAGAGACTGCTGAGCCTTTATAGGGCCAGCTGGGCTCTGATTGGGGCGTGGCCCAGCTGCAGCTACTTCCCCCAATCAGCCCAGGGTGTTCTCTCTCACCCCCCGTCCTTTCCAAGGGCTGTTTTTAAACCCCTCAGAGCAGGAGCGGGTGACCACCCCGCTACAAGATCATTGCCAACAAGAAGTGCAAATGACTTTGTTTGGTGGGAAGGGTGCTTAGACCATCTCTCACTAAAAGATGCCTTTCTTGTTCTGTGGACAAGAGGCCATCTCTGATACCTCTGCTTCTGAGGGTGGTAAACAAAATCAAGCATGACAAGGCCAAGATCATATTAATAGTTCTGACATGACCCAGACAGACCTAATTCACCTGTTGGTCAGGCAATGGCTCCTCTGTTCATTCCTCTTCTTCTCTCTTACGAAGCACGTCGGATGTTTCACCCTACCCGAGGATCCTTCATCTCAAAGCTTGGCTTCTCGATGGTTCATAGGAATAGAGACTTCATGTTCTGAGGAGGTACAACAGGTATTATTGAACAGTAGAAAAGATTCCATGAAATATACGTAACTTCACAAGTTGAAGAGGTTCAGCATTTGGTGTGATCAGAGACATTTTCCACCTGTTCACTCATCCTTCTCAATATTTTGGACTACCTTCCAGAGTTTAAAAAGACAAAAATTATGTAAAAGTTCTATCAGGGTACACCTAGCAATTATAGCAGCCTCTCATTCCCCAGTTGAAGCATTTCAGTTTTCGCTCATCCCACAACTGTGAGGTTTCTCAAAGGGTTGCGGAACTTTTCACTCAAATTAAGGAACCCACTCTAATTTGGGATTTGAATCTGTACTTAAATGCCTTATGAATCTTCCCTTTTGATTCAGTGGCTACCTCTTCCCTCATTAATTCTTCTATGAAGATGGCCACATCGCCTCTGGCTGAAGGGTTGGAGAAATAGGGGCTCCCATGGCAGGCCCTCTGTTTATAGTATTTTTCAAGGACAAAGTTTCCTTATGTCCCCATCTTAAATTTTAATCGAGGTGTCATAGGAGTTTCATATTAATCAACTCATACATCTTCCCATCTTTTTCCCAAAACCTTATCAGTCCAGGGAGGATGCTTCATTACAAACGTTGGATGTTAGGAAGGCAATAGCCATTTTTCTGGACAGAATCAGGTAATTTGGGAATTTACTCAGTTTGTGTCCATTGCAGATGGATCTAAAGGTTTAGCAGTTTTCACCCAGAGTCTCTCGACTTGGGGACTTCTGATTGTGCTGTATCATGCTACAGATCATCTGACATTCAGCCTCCTAGGGATTTGGTCCATTCCACAAGATCTCTATCTCTATGGCCTTGCTCAAATGTGTTCCTATTCTGGACATTTGCAAGGCTCCAACTTGGACTTCAGTATATACCCAAGATGTACCTTTTCCAGACATTATGCTGTAGTCCAGTCTTCAAGATCAGATACCGCCTTTGGGAATGCAGTTTTATCAGTCTTGGATGTGGCTCTGAAGCCCCATCCTCAACCTGCGGCTACTGCTCAGTAGTCACCTGAAGTGAAGCCCCCTGAAGGAGGAGAGGTTACTCACTCTGTGCAGTAACTGGAGTTCTTTGAGATGTGTGTCCCCATGGGTGTTGCACTACCTGCCCTCCTTCCCCTTTGCTTCAGAGATTCCTTTGAGGACTTTGCGGTTGAGAAGGAACTGAGGGCACTTTGACTGTACAGCCCTTTATAGCTTCAGTCCGGGGCACAAGGATTTGTAGGGCAAATGTGTGAGCCGAACAAGTGGTACTACCAAAAATCTCAGCTCAAAGACGCATGGGGTGTAAGCACATCTAAAACGGAGTGCCTGTGGGGGAGACACATCTGGAAGAACTCCAGTTACAGCACAGGGTGAGTAACCTCTCATTTTTTCTCAGTGTACAGAACTATGGATTTGTATTCTAAATCTGAAATACACAGATTAAAAACCATTAGAGGTTATATTGTTCCATGATCACATCTTATTAATCTACTCATTTGCCTATCACTGTAAAATACTGTAGTTTAGCTAATATAGTGGGTGAAATCCTGAAATCCTTGGCAGACCTTCAACTGGCTTCAGTAGGGCAAGCACTTCACCCATACTGTCTTGGACTCTTCAGTCAGTATTCAAATAAATGAGCAATGAATTGGGTTTTTTAAAAAAATTCTGAGAGCAGAGGCGGGCAAACTTTCTGACCTTTGAGCCGCATCAGGTTTCGTAAATTGTATGGAGGGCCGGTTAGGGGAGGGGGTCCTGGCCCGGCCCCCACCTCCTATCTGCCCCCCCGGGACTCCTGCCCCATCCAACCCCCCCTGTTATCTAATGGCCCCTCTGGGACCCCTGCCCCATCCACACACCCCACTTCCTGTCCCCTGACCGCCCCCAGACCACCGCCGCCCCATCCAACCCCTCCTCTCATTCCTGACTGCCCCCCCGGGACCTCGCCCCATCCAACCACCCCTTCTCCCTGCCCCCTGCTGCCCCATCCAACCCCTCCTCCTCCCTGACTGCCCCCCGGGATCCCTGCCCCCATTCAACCCCCTGTTTCCCCCCCCCCAACCACCATCCACACCCCTGCCCCCTGATCACCACCCTGAACTCCCCTGCCTTCTATCCAACCCCCCCTGCCCCCTTACCATGCTGACTGGAGCGCTGGAGGCGTTCCAACCACGCCATCCGGCTGGAGCCGGGCCACGCTGCCGTCGCCGTCACCACAGAGCACTGGGTCAGGCCGGGCTGTGCAGCTGCGCTGCCCCAGGAGCTCACAGCCCCGCCACCCAGAGCATTGCGCCGGCGGCGGAGCGAGCGAGCTCAGGCTGTGGGGGAGGAGGACAGCAGGGGAGGGGCCGAGGGTGAGCCTCCTGGGCCAGGAGCTCGGGGGCCGGGCAGGACGGCCTCGCGGGCCATAGTTTGCCCACCCCTGTCTTAGAGTAATGTTTTGGGAGTCCTAATCCTAGGTCAGGTTTGGCTGTGCCTGTGTGGTCCTTGTAACACCATACATTTGGGGTGGATTTAGTCAACTGCGCATTCTTTAAATTTGCACTTTGCAAAACGCTAATTGGTATTTCTCTGTCTCTATCTGATAGCCAAAAATATAACTTATAGTATTTTATTCTAATATGAAGATCGTATTGTGACGGGTTGGATCACAGAAAACCCCTTGGGAACTGCCAACTGATGTGCTGGGATTACCTCTGAGCCCGCTTTCCCTGGCAGCTTGGGACTTCAGTGTCCTGCCTGGTTCGAGCCAGACATGCTAGCCTGCTACAAACACAGACCCAGGTCTGAACAACGTCTCCCAAAAGCTACAGGCTTAACTGAAAACAGCTTAAGAAGTGTTCCTGTCTCCGACACTCAGATGCCCAGCTCCCAAAGCTGTTCAAACCCCAAATAAATCCGTTTTACCCTGTATTACGCTTATACAGGATCAACTCATACATTGTTTGCCTTCTATAACACTGATAGAGAGAGAGACACAGCTGTTTGCCCCCGCCCCCCCCAGGTATTAATACATAATCTGGGTTAATTAATACGTTGAAAAGTGATTTTATTAAATACAAAAAGTAGGATTTGAGTGGTTCCAAGTAATAACAGACAGAACAAAGTGAATTACCAAGCAAAATAAAATAAAACACGCAAGTCTATGCCTAATACAGTAAGAAGCTGAATACAGATAAAATCTCACCCTCAGAGATGTTCCAATAAGCCTCTTTTACAGACTAGCCTCCTTCTAGTCTGGGTCCAGCAATCACTCACACCCCTGTAGTTACTGTCCTTTGTTCCAGTTTCTTTCAGGTATCCTTTGGGGTGGAGAGGCTATCTCTTGAGCCAGCTGAAGACAAAATGGCAGGGTCTCCCAAGGGCTTAAATAGACTTTCTCTTGTGGGTGGAGACCCCCTCCTCTCTCCTATGCAGAATCCAGCTCCAAGATGGAGTTTTGGAGTCACATGGGCAAGTCACATGTCCATGCATGACCCAGTTCCTTACAAGTGGCAACCATTGCTTACATGCTACCTTGAATGCCCCAGGTAAACTTCTTATGTGGATTGGAATCTTCCAAGGTTCCCTTGTCTGTTAAGTGTTTCTTGATTGGGCACTTAACTTGCAAATTCCTTTCTTAAGAAGCTGACCAAATGCCTTACTAAGGCTACTTAAAATCAAACAAATAAACAGCCAATATTCATAACTGCAAATACAAACATGATACATGCATACAAATAGGATGAATATATTCAGTAGATCGTAACCTTTGCAGAGATATGTTACATGGTATATGTAGCATGAAACGTATTCCAGTTATGTCATATATACATTCATAAGCATATTTCCATAAAGCATTATGGGGTGCAACGTCACATGTATCTAATGCAATTTTGTTGATTTTTATCTTTAGTTGCTCTCTGTTGCCAAATTCTCCATTGTGTACTGAGTCTTTGAAGAAGGAAAGCTGCAAACCTACCAATAAAAAAAAACTTGGTAAGTGTAAACCAATCTTAAGGTGAACAGTCAACATACAGATTCTTCATAATATTACCTCGTATAGCTAACTAGTGCTATATCTAGCCAATATATTATTTTCGTTGTCAACTTGTAAGTTGCATTATATTTTCAATTCTATGCTTTATTTAGTGCTACTTTCCTTCTTAAAATGTACCTGTATAAGTGGTGGTCTTTAAAAAATTAAACTTTTGAGAACTTTCTGTAGGGAATGTGGAACCTTTGATTATGTGTCATGGCATGCACACCGAGGAGTTAGATAAAAAACATGAAATACTGTTGCTGGCAGATTGCAACATAACACTATTTTATTTCTTCGAATGATAACTTGCAAGATCCCAAGAACAGAGAGACAAAGCAGGCTAGTTCCTAAAACAAAGGGGCACAACTCACCTCACCTACTTTAGCTGTTTGCTTGCAAAATTGACTGCTTTTGGGTCCAGTTTTGCACACTTTCCTACAGAGTGCTCTAGTCTACAAGTAGGATGAGGACCCCACCTTGAAATTTGAAGTGAGAGTCTACAATTTAAGAGAGTTTTTAGTACACCACAGCTTTTCAGTTTGCACATGTGATTCAAGTTAGTTAGTTTGCTCTTTTCCCAAGGAGATTTACTATAATTTTCAGTATTGTCTTCTTTAAATTTGTATGTATTCATGGTCAGTTTTCCGGTCCTCCTCTTGAATGAGTTGTCTTTTGACAACATTTTTAACGAAAGCAAACCCCATGCAAATGCAGAGCTTACTTGATTGTAAAGATTTCAACCGGTCTACTTCCAATACCCATGGTAGCACATGTAACATAGGATTGTTGAGGTTGCTAGGCTCCCCGCTTTGTTGCAGGATGCCTCTCATTCCCCAAAGCTCTGTCTGAAGTGGGAATCCTAGCAGCTCCTAGTGCTCCAGCTGGGGAACCAAAGGCTAGCAGACTTTCTGCTGTGGAGCAGCTAAGTGAAATCAACATTCTTGTCATTTTCATGGCTGCTATTCAGTGAATGGCAGCCATAAAATTGACAAGAATGTCAGTTTCACATTTTGTTTCAGGAACACTGTAGTGTTTATGAAATGAAGTTTTTGAGGATCTCTGGTTCAATGGGAAATGTTGCTTGCATTCCAAATCAGAATGAAAGCATATTAATAAATACTGAAATCCCTGAGTTTTGGCTGGCTCTAGTCTCACATGCACTTTAAAGGGTTAAATTTGGCTCACTATCTTTTTTTTTTTTTTTGAGTTGACATGTACAAAATATTTAACTTCGCATTATAAAAATAGAGAGTCCTGTGGCACCTTTAAGACTAACAGATGTATTGGAGCATAAGCTTTTGTGGGTGAAAGCCCACTTCGTCGGATGCATGTAATGAAAATTTCCAGGGGCAGGTATAAATATGCTGGCAAGAATCAGTCTGGAGATAACGAGGTTAGTTCAATCAGGGAGGGTGAGGTCCTCTGCTAGCAGTTGAAGTGTGAACACCAAGGGAGTGCAAATTTGACACCATCAGATCAGGATTAAACAAAGACTGTGAATGGCTAGCCAACTACAGAAGCAGTTTCTCCTCCCTTGGTGTTCACACTTCAACTGCTAGCAGAGGACCTCACCCTCCCTGATTGAACTAACCTCGTTATCTCCAGACTGATTCTTGCCAGCATATTTATACCTGCCCCTGGAAATTTCCATTACATGCATCCGACGAAGTGGGCTTTCACCCACGAAAGTTTATGCTCCAATACATCTGTTAGTCTTAAAGGTGCCACAGGACTCTCTGTTGCTTTTTACAGATCCAGACTAACACGGCTACCCCTCTGATTATAAAAATAGTTTTAAGTATTTCAAAATGATTTTCTATAAGACTGCCACCAGTTGTACCCCTGTATTTGGCTACACCCATATAATATTCTTGACTTGGGTGAGCTCCACACATTTTACTGAGAGCAGAATTTGGTGCTCTATGCAAATTTTAAACTGTAATACAGTAGCTAGTTAATAGCTACTTTATAGTTAGTTATATAGTGATTTAATTTCCACGCCTTGACTTCTGTGAATGTTCAGAAATATGTTGGTAAAAGTTTTTTCTCTTTTGGAAAAAAAAATTCACATGGGAAATGAACATGCACAACCACAAAAATGTCACCTTCTATTCTTATAGAAGCACACAAGAGACAACTGTAATGAAATAGGCAACTAAAAAGGAAATGACAATTATGCACTATACTGTTCAAATGTCTTTAAAATTGAGTCAGTTATGCAAAGAAATATTAATAGAAATTATCAATTTTAAAATAATGTAATCATATTACTATTTATAATGACCTTTTAGACAGTAACTTCATGAGGACTCAGACCACATAAAATATCCCATACTTAGTATTAATTTATGATCATATAGTAAAGCTTCCATTATTGGAACTCTAGTTTGAAATACATGTTTTACAAAGTTGGTCATATGGCTAATTATTCAACTGTTCTGCCAGTTGTTTTAAGTTTTTGCTGCTGCTTCTAATATACTGTACAGAATCATTATTCTTGTACTTCAGGTGTTACTGCTTGTCCCCTTTGGAATGTTTTTCTCTTTAAGATGACAATAAGTTAGTTAATTTATGTTTAATTTGTACACAATAATTGTCAGTTACTGTAATTTTCAGAAGTTGAACATGCAGACATTATGAAATTCATCTTACAAAGGAACGCATGTTCAGATGCATTCTTCTTTTTAATAACAAAACTTCCAATCCAAGAGAACCAACGCCCACTTTGATTAATAGGACATACTAAAAGTGTATAATATATGATAGTAATATTGTTCAGATGAGGTTGACGTAAGTTTGACCTTTGTGGAATTGATCATTTAAAAAAATAATTCTGTTAAGACTTAATACTCTCTCCGAAACATTTTACAGCAACTGGCGAACCATTATTCCAGAACACATTGATACCTCTATGAAGTATTTAAGATGCTTCTAACAGGACTCGTGAAACAAAGTTTATATAAAATATTTGGCTAACTTGTGCTTTGTACTGGAAGTATTTTTATAATTAATTAATAGTGCTTGTGGTATATCTCTTATAGTTACTCTCTGAATTTATTATACTGTTTACACTGCTTTTGGTGTTCTGCAGCAATGTAGTTATAGTTTAATACAGTAAGAGTAAGAGAATTTTTGACAAATATAACATGGTAACAATTCTGGAGGTTTAAAATAGGCTATATTTTTCTGATATAGTGAAATCACTGGTTCCGTGTCAGTGTTAATAAACTGCTCCTGAGCTGAAAATTAGAGTTACCACATGATCCAAGGTTCTTTAAATAGAGGTTTGTAGAAAGTAGGTAACTGCTGAGATGGCATTTGAAGTTAGAGCGGAAGTTTTACGTGTCTTAAAAGGCCGAATTCTGTTTCTAGAGTCACATATGGTGCTCATTAACTCAACTGGGAGCTGTGTGTGTAGCTGGGGCAGATGTAAGCCTTACAGAGTGTAATCCGTGTCAGTTCATGAACAGGTGTTAGAAGAAACCAATCTCTTTTTCTTCTCAAGTGGAGGAAAGTGGTGCAAAAATAGCTGTTGGAACTAGTGTATGAGAAATGCAGAAGAAAAAAATATGTAAAGTAGTACAGAGTACATGAATCAACCAGATGAGATGACAGTAGAAAGGAGAACTATTCTGTCTTTGAATAATTGGGTCATCAAAAAAAACCATGTATGATTAAGCCGTTTGCTATTGTATGGGGGATGTATTTGTTGAACCTTGTCATAACATCATAGGACAAAATTGGGATGCCTTTTGTCTCTCATCATTGTATAATTATATATTGCTCAGACTTGTAGTCAATGGAGTTTCTAATAGTCAATAGCATTTGTAATGGAGATATAAGACATCTGCTTAGGGAGGCTGTTATGTATATAATTTCCCTTTGACTTTAGTGGGAGCAGGATCATGTGCATTCTTTAAAGTAGACTGATGTCTTACTTTCAGTTAGCTCCATAGTTCTCTGCAAAGAGTGCTTTGTGTGAGCTGTATAACGCTGTCAGGATAGTGAATCCAGCTATGTCTGTGTTCATAACCATTGGCAACTTATGACTTTTGTAGAACATCATCCAAGCAAAGTATATCAGGCTGTCCAATATATCCTTCAAGAGGGACTAGAGATCAAGGCATAATTTGTATGGTTTGTTCTCACACTTCTAGCAAAAGATCACTGATTTGCCTTTTGACATGAACCCCCTAAGACTCATGAACAGTGTGTTAACCTGCTGCCAGATAATATTCTTCCCTATGAATTTCATCGGGGGGGGGGGGGGGGGGGGGCGGGAAGGCTGCTTTAAGTAAAAGCATCTCATTACTTAAAGTTTTTCAGGTATTGGAAGAAAATTTTTGTCATCTCATTGTCCCAGTTGTATAGAGGTGGTGCAGCTACCTCCACAGATACGGCAATTTCTGCAGTATCCTTGGGAGATATTATTGAGTTCAGATAGCTTTGGAGACCATTGTATTATAAATTCAAATCTTATTGTGGGGAAATAGAACAGGGGGGCCTTCTTTTTAATAGCCAAAACTGTAAATCTGAAGGCCCCGAAATAAACCCTCCAACAGAGATCTGTTATGCTGACTACCCTTACACAGAGCAGTACAGGCCCAGGCCTAAGCAAGACTGAACAACACAGTTCTCTGCCAAACTCGGTCAAGGGTCATGACCAGAGGAGGGAGGGGGGAGGAAGTAACAGTGGTAAAAGCCTCGGCAACCTAATAACCACATGTTTATGAAATATAATAACCGCTTGTGTGAAGCAATAGGTAACTTTAGCTAAATGCAACTCTTCCTGTTGTTCCAGCTATCTGCAAAACCAGCCAATCATATACCCTCTTTGAGCGTCCTATGTTAACCCCCTTGTGCCCATAACCATAAAGCCCCGGAAAATAATATGTACCCTGACGAGAAATACCCCTAAACTGGTGCCAAGTACCACCCCTGGGGAAAACCACCAAGCGCCCCCGTACCCAAATAAAACACCCAATTCTCAGAAAATAATGAGGAAGGTGCCAGGAAGGGGGGACTGACCCCAACCCCAATTTCTTAACTCATGATGTATTGTTTGTACTTTGCTTGCGGTTTAATGAAATAAAAGCCACCTGCGAGCGGTCCTCGGTGTGTCAGTCTTCGGACTGCACCCCAGTGCACTGGTATGTATGTCAATAAACTGGCCTCAGGCTTGAGTCTGTAAACTAAAATCAATGCGTGGGTGTCTTTGACCACGACATTATGTACTATTGTGGGATTGTATATTACTTGTCTAGGGCAGTGGTTCCCAAACTTGGTTTGTGGTTTGTTCAGGGTAAGCCCCTGGCGGGCGTGAGATGCTTTGTTTACCTGAGCGTAAGCAGGTACAACTGCTCGCAGCTCCCAGTGGCTGCGGTTCGCCGCGGGGCTACAAAACTATAAATCTTCCTGCAATTGAAGGCTTTTATGGAAGCTGGTATCAGAGATATCTATGATCACTTTCAAATGAATGCTGTAGAAGGTGAAATATTAAATCTAATATTTAATAATTAAATTTTTAATCTGATGTTTAGCATTTGTTGTTTTATTGATTTGTCACATAAACAGCAATATGTAAACAAATATAAATTGTATTCTCTCAACTGTCCAGTTACTGGTATTCTAGACAATTAATTTGACACATCTTCCACAATCATTATCCAATTTTAAATATTTAGAATGTAGAACAATTTATATATAAGGAGACAGCAATTGTTCCATTATCTTAAAGAAATAATTTCCCTCTAACTTGAATTATGGAAATGTAATATTAAGAAAATTCTCTACTAAAAGTTCAAGCTATTTTAATGCAGGTATGAAGGGCACAATGAAAGACCAGTCACTGGTTTTCCACAGTAAAATTAAGTCATCAGGCTACACAACAGCACCACAGTGAGTAGAAATGCTATTAAAGATATTTTATATGGATGTAATATTACTGTACCTTGTTTCCTTTTTTATTGTGTAGAAATACCTTGTGGCAACTGTGGAATAAATGATGCATTGAAAATAAAATAATGGTACAAAATACAGATAAATAGGCTGCTAACAATGTGTTAGAAATTAAAATACTCAGTTTATGAGCAATCTATTGATACTTAATAATACCTCATTTAATCAATAGGGATAGACACATGGAACTTTTGTTCACCATACTCAGGGGTGAAAGTAACTCTGAAAACTTACTGGTCTGGGGGCCTTTGGCAGAAGGGTAGGGGCTGGGGGATCAGCATCCCCTGGCCCGCACCGCCTGGGGCTCCAGCAGCGATTTAAAGGGCCCGGGGCTCTGGCCGCTGCTCCCTCCCCCATTGGTAGCCCTGCTGATAGGGACCCGGCAGGGCCGCCGACGGGGGACACAAAAGAGGCAGCTATGTTAAAGCGCTGCCGTGGCAGCGCTTTAAGCAGGGCCCTTGCTTTAAAGTCAGCTGGGTACGGGACAGTACCAGCGGCCACTTTTTACCGGTATACTGTACCGGCCCACTTTAACCCCTGACTGTACTTCTCTTGCTTCTTTCCTTCTCTTTCACTCGATGACATTCTCTCTCCTTCAACATGTACTTTTGGTTTCTGTTTTTCTCTATTAAGTCTATTTAATAAAGAGTGTGCAATAATTCCCTCTTTCCTTTCTTTCTTGTATATGGTTCTTGCTCTCTTACCATCTCTCTCTCTCTCTCTCCTTCCCCTAATTCTCTCTTTGCTTCTGCCAAGGGAACCAACATCTTTTCCACTCCTCTACACAGCTGAGAGGCAGCTTAAAGGGGATGAGGGAGGAGCACCAGGCTAGTAGTAGGGTAACACCGACAGACCCCAGTCGTCAGCAGGCAGGATCGAACCTGGGACCTCTGAAGCTTAATGTATGAGCCTCTACTGCATAAGCTAAAAGCCACTTGGCTCTAAGCTAAGGCTGTAGCAGACTCATTAATTTCTAAGGGGTCTCGGTGCCACTAGAGGGGACACCACACCCAGGAGGTGTGTGGGTTACAGTAGCACTGCAGAAGCAACTTCCCCGTGGTGCCTGACAGTGCAGGAAGCCTATTAAGACTGCCCACCGTAGCACTCGGACAGCTCAGTTCAAGCTCTTCTGCAGCTGTCTTCAGTAATAGCCAGTGCTAAACCTGCCAGTAATCACTCCTCTTCTGCTGCTGCTTCACAATGGAGGAGATAGTAGGAAGGGAGGTAGCCATCAGGCCTAACACCAGTTGTTTCATGTGGTAGCATCAGTTTATGCCTAGGGCAACCCTTGCTTTGAGTAAAAAAGGGAGATAGGTTAGAGATGTCGTCAGGGCTTCTTTCTCTCCCCCATTTTCATCAGATGCCAAGTCCTTTAACCTTAGAGGTTATCTTGTTTATATTCCAGGGCACAAGTGTGCCCTTCTCAGACACTTTTAAGCATCAACTAGAATCTGTACTCACTGGCACCTACTCATGACAACTACCATTTCCCCTAGTTTTTCTGTGTGGGCAGAGGGTGAAAGTAATTTAACTAACATGACACGTTTTAACCCCATAAAGATTTTTGTGCTCATGTCACAATGTGACCATCCAGGTTAAATAAGTGACTAAGTTAGGTTGCCTGCATGTAACTGAGAGTAGAATTTAGACCAGTAAAAGTCACTCAGTGTTAAGGTTAGCTCACAAAAACATTATATCCATGCTGGGTGTAAGTTGTACATAAATGCGCAAGATTCTTAGATCCCAGAGCTAGTTACGTATGCGTGTGTGTAAATATGTGTATATTGTGTGTGAGTGTATAACATTTGTGTGGATATTCATAAATATGAATGGTTGTGGTAAAATGAAGGAGGAATTATGCTACAATTGTATGGGCCACCAGTTTGGGTCCTTGAAAGAGACTTGGAGAGAAGGGTAAAATTGTTTGATTTGGGCTAGGAGGGCTTATGGTTCTGTGAGATGATTGATTGGGGCTGGGAACAATCATATGTGCTAGAAACTACCATCTCCTATTGGCAACTTTTTCAAGTCATCTCAAAAATTGTAGAATGAGCTCTATCCACTTGGTACAGTGACATCCTACTAACTACTTGTGTAAAAAGGCTGCTGTTCAGAAGTAGATAACTCAGGCCTTTATGTTCTTCAAAGTGTAGCACCCATCAAGTGTGTTATTACAAGCAATATTTGGGAGTGAACTAGAAAGTAAGATGATTACAGGGATCTATTCTTCTGCTGATATGTACATATTTCTCACTGTCACTAATGGAACAACTGCATGTATGAAGAGGAAAACAGAATCACTGTTATTTTAATAAAATACTTGTTCCTGAACAATGTTTCAGAAGTGCCTTTATATAGGTATAGCAAAGCCTGTTTTCTTCTTCGCAGAATGACCATGTTTTCTCCAAAGACTAACTTGAAGAAAAATAACAAGATATCAGAGTGGAAGAGCAGTTGCAAACGGTAGGTAATTCAGTAGATTCATTAAAAAATATTGAAATGATGATAAATAGATGTTTTACTTGAAAAGGTATTTTGTAGATACCTACTTCATCTATTGGACATTTTTAAATTGGGTATATGATTTGAACTAAAATGCTTCTTAGGTTTGCTATGAGATGCATTTTTTCTGATGTACAGCTGGAAGAACTGCTAAATGTTTACTCTAAAGACATTTTAAGTTATATTCATTAATCTTAAGTAAGCTTTACGTACAAAAGATAACATATATTTATGTTCTCGCTATTTTTAAAATGACGCATTTAACTTAAAAAAGCATATTGGTGCTAAACGTGTTTGGAACCATATTCCCATAAAGTGTTTTTAATGTGTAGTTCCAGTCTGAAAAGTTACTAAATATGGCTTCATGAGGTTCTGTGCTTATTGTAGCTCATTGAGTTCATGTGTGTTCATTTTACAAGTGGAAATATATTTGGCCTGATTCACCACTATGGTAGTCCAGTTCTACGCCTGTGTCAGTCCACTGAAATCAAAACTTTTTCCCTCTCGTAAACATATGCAGTCCCATTGAATATAATGAAGCTGCACAGATTTTACTTAGGGTGGAATTTGACCTGTACAATCATCATCACTGGCAATGATACACAATCCAGGTCTCAGTGTGATCTTAAGGAGTTGACAGTTTTATGCTGAGTCGTGAAATGGATGTACCACACCCATTTGATCCTAACTGCCAGCCCTGTAAATTCACCCTCGGATCTGGCTTATCTATATTGCAAAAGCAAAAATTAAGTGTGACAGTAGTGGTTTCTCTTGGCTTTTCTCTTTTATTAGCATTTCTGAAATGTATAATAGCATAGTGCTAGATTTCCTTAATCACTTTGGAAAGCATTTAGATGAATAGTACTATTGATTTTAAGAAAGACTTGCACAATCTAGAATATAGTATCTAATTCCCACTCTGTGTTGACTCTGTGGTACTAACGAGTAAAACAAAACAGTTTTTATTTGTGACTGAAATAAGCAGATACAACACACCAGGAGTATATATATGTTGAGTAAGAAAGTGTGGTTTTTACATCTTCACTTTTCAGAGTAGAACCATATTTTAAGGCACCGTCCTAAGTAATTTTGTTATCAGCAAGAAATAATACAACAAACTGATTTTATTTTTTGGTGTGGGTATCTGAAAAAAGCCTTGAACTTGGAATTAATTCATTATTAGGCTAGCTGACCAAGGCTGCCATTATAACACGTAACCAGCACATCCATCATACTGTCTGTAAACTGGAAAATACTGGTTCATCTTGAAAGAATTAGTGGTTATTTTTTAATTGGCAAGCAGAATAATGTAAAGGTATGCATATGAGAGTCCAAATTCCTGATAACTTTTGCATAGATGACTGGTAAATTATTGACATGGATGCAAACAGATACCATACTTGTAACCTTCCTTTCTGATGTGAATCCGATCCTTCAGTGGGATGCATGCAGGTGAACTTCAGCATCTGCATGGGGCGCCTCTGAGATTTTGTGCAGGTGCAAGTGTCTGCATGTCTACATCTCATTGCAGGACCAGGGCCTAAAGTGTCATTTCGTTTTTCTGACCTTTGGCAGGGAACAGTATTCTGCAGATGCTTATTGTGGCTCTGTGGTTTAGCTAAGGCTGAGCTGAGTTTTGCATTAAAAGTAAGAATTCACCCTCTGTTTATGTATAGGCTTTGAAGGATTAGATATTTATTGGCAGATGTTAATAAATACAAACTGAGTAAAAATATTTAAATTGATCATTAAAATTCACACATAGGCAAAGTAAGTAAAGTGCTGCTTGAGAACATATTGGAGTTTGATTTAAGGATATTTACTTTGTATCTTTTGACATGTGATGTTGACAATTTGTGTTTTACTGTTATGAAGATTTAATTTTTTGAGTTTCAGCATCTTCTGTCATTAAATAAGTATTGTTTGATTTTCCCCCCCCCCATAATTTCCAGTAACTATGAACATTTAAATTAAAAATTGAAAAAAAATGCTTAAAAATATAAATATCCATCAAAATTATATTAAATAATCATGCTGCCATGTCTAGTTATGTATGGCAAATTCAACATATCTTCACCTGCTTATATCACATAGTTTTTTGAATGCAGAATGGATTTTCTGAGAATTTACAAGGAAATCCATTAATTAGTTTGCGTTAAACAGATTTAAAAATGGGTTCTTTCAGAAATTTAGAATCAGGTGTTCTGAATGATCTCAGTAGTGGAATACCAGAGTATTCAAACTTCCCATATAGTTAAAATTATGGAAGTTTTGTGGACAGGCTATATTTGAGAAGATCAGGTTGTAATTCAGTTAAGTTACTGTGCATCCAATTGTTATGATCATAGACAGAGGCAAGTCAACAGCTCATATCACTCTTAACTGGGACCACTGTGACTGCAAAGGTAAGAAACAATCATAACCCTTCCTTTACAGCCAATTTCCATTCTACAGTGTTATTAGTTGTGGTGAGTGTATGAGAGAGATTCAGATCATGGCATGTAAAGAGCTCTCCTTGATAGGTCAGTTGGTCCAGTTGTAATTGTTTCTTAAAGATTCCCTGACCCCATGCTACCTTGTAGGTTAGTGCTTGAAAGGCTCCCATCCCCATGACACAGCGGCCTTGATTCCGCTGTGTACTAAGGCAGTAATATTACAGGAGCTGCAGCAAACAGCTGTAAACCTAGCTTAACTGGTCAGTATGCTTTAGCTGCTCTAGGGGAGTGTGAAGCACTCATAGCATACCAGTGAATCTGACCCTAAACGTTAAAATAAATAAAATTATCTAATTTAGGGTTGCTATTGCGTATCTTCAAACCATTAGAAGTATTTGCTTGGTAGCATTCTCTTTAGGATTCTTGTTTAGTGTTAATATATACAAATTTAATATTAAAAAAAAAAAAAACAAGAAAATTCCCAGACAAAACTGTTATGATGGAGTTAAGGCTGAGAATAAATATCAATGTCTTAAGGGAAAGAAACATAAAAAATACTATAATTACACCAAAATCCAGCATTATAAACCCAGGAAATTCAGAGTTAAGCTTAACTTTAAAAGAAATCCAAACATGTCAATGTATGGAATACACAGTTAAGGCACACAAAGAACCTTAACTCTGCCCTGTAATGACACCATAAGGGGAAAATATGAAAAAAAAATTAAAAATAGTTTTAATTTGGAACCAGAAGCACTAATATGCATCAATCATCATCGTACAGTTATTGCTTGTTGTGACTACAGGGCAGAATTTAGGTTGTCTGCATGCTTCGTGTATTTGCACAACTTCATATTTAGGATTTTTTTTTAAGTTAACATTAACTCATAATTTACTGGGTTTCAATGCTTGGTTATTGTGGTAATTAAAACATCCCAGTTATGTTTTTTACCCTTAAGTTACTGATATCTATTCTGACTCAACTTTTTCTTACCACAAGTTTTGTCTGGGAATCTAAAAAAGAGGGAAGATGTATGGATGAATTATACTTTTAATGTACTCTAACTGTAATATAAATGTTTAGCATGTAAAGTGAAAATGTACTGTTCTTATGACATTTAACTATGTTTTCCTTAACTTCCTTTTTTTTAAAAGAAAAAATAAAGAATATCTATTGGAAAATTCTCCTCCAACTAAATCTGAGAGACAGATATCAGTAGCTAATAAACCAACTTCTGTTTGCTGTATTCAGTATTCAGGTATGTATGACCACTAAGATATACTATTGTCCCTGACATCCAGGAATTAAAATAAGGGATGTGGTTTATTTAGGCGTCAGCTTTACTCATCTGGGAACTGTCTAGCAATAATTTGTATAGTGTTTGGGTCATTTTTCCTTCCTTAATTGTCTGCACCCGGCGGAGGGTTGCCATTAGCCCTCCACACCCGGTCCCAGCCTCTTGCTGGGACCTCTGATCTTCCCTCCTATGAGGGTTGGGTTGGGAAAGGAGGTTGACTCCTCACTCTACCAGACATTAGGAGCCCTACTCAAATCTTCGGCTTCTTTAGGGAGATGCCTTCCTCTAAGTTCATTTCCAATTCCAGGTATCAAGGAACTGGATCCCTTTAAAATGAATACCTTCACTGGACATCTGTTTGGGGTAAAAAGGGGTGTTTTAAGGTGTTGAGCACCAAGTAATTATCACAAAGATTACTAAAAATGTATAGTATAGAGAAACAAGATATAGTTAGTCAGATCTTGATAATTTTATCTCTTACTGACAGTTCAGGAATGTGTATCCCTCTATTTTAGACTAAGAGGGAACACCACAATTAGAGGCAAGCAAAATAATCACAATTATTAACTATGGCTTCTTTATTAAAGAAAGGAAAATAAACATCAAAAAGACTGAACAAAGCAGAACACAAACTATAAAGAATGGTTATTTCAGCTGCAATCTCTTCTCTATGTCTCTGTGGAGAGCTTTCAACAGAGATTACACCCTGAGTGGGCCCACTCTGGTTTGGACACTCTTCTCGTAAGATAAAACCGAAGTATATTATTCCCAAAATCAGCAGAGAGTCCTGTCTTGGTGTATCAGAGATAGCTAAAGCAATTTATAGATGGGCAAAGGAATTTTGTTTAAGGGTTGGTGGATCCTGTCATGGATAATTTAAATAATTTTATAAATCGGTAGATATAAATAATCTTAATTAAATCTTATGAAACTAAAATATTTAATTCAAATACATGAAAGAAGCCATTCAAGGAGTGATCTTCAGACTGTCAAATTAATTAATATTCAGAATCTATATTCAGATTGAATCCCACCATTTATCTCTTGTTAGCAAGGTTGGTTGATATTCCTTCTCCAGGAATACATAGTCAAAACAATTTGCTATTTAACAGGAGAATGCCTTTGGGAAGATTAGATTTCATAGCTGGTGGGGTGGGTGAATCATAGCATGGATTTGACCCCAAGCTAGGAATGTCTCTTTCCTTTTTTTGTTCATTAATTTATTTTGGCTTCTGGTTTGCAAACTTTTTTTATACTAATTTACAGTGGGATTCTGCATTTTAAGCCCCAAACCATCTTTGCTCTTTCAGAAATATTATTTGGGTTAAACAGTTTTCCCATCCCACTACATCCAGGAAAAAAATAAAAGGCTTGATCCTGCCAACATTTGTACACATGAATAACTTTACTCATATGAGAAGTGCCACAGAACTTCTTAGGATTAGGCTGTAAAGCTATGGCGGGGTGGGCTTGTGCCCATTGCTTCAGAAGTTATCAGAATACTGACAAAGGTGTCTTGGTGCTCTCATAAGAATGCTTATTTTTTATTCTGGTACCCTTGAAAGGGGGATGTGACATTTATACATAGATACATAGTAATTTTTATAAATCAGGAAGTAGATAAATGTGACTGCTAAATATTTCTGTAATATTTGTTTAGGATTTTTTGTTTAAATATGTGACATTCTGCCATGTAATGAGTGATATTTCCCCCCCTGCATCTTAACTGATTTCCATTGAAAGGGAAAATGGTAAACAAGTTAGGTGAAAGCTGATTATATATTTTTATGTGCTGTAACATGCTTTCCCCTCTTTCTGATATATTTATGATTTTAAAAAAAACCCTATGATATTAGACACACACTCCTCACAACCCATAAACCTGTAGGGAATCTTTTTACAGGGGATGGAGAGCTGTTAGCTTGTGGCCTAGCTGACAAATCTTTACTGGTATTCAATTCCAATCTGACAGGAACACCGGCTGTTTTTTCAGGTAAACTGTTTGTAAATATAGTTTATATGGAGTGATGTGTTTTCAGTTTAAATAAACTTGTAAATTAATTAAAAGATTCCATTCTTGTCACTATATGAAGAATTAAAAAAAAAAAACCTACTACTTCTGAGTGAGGATATAGTAAACTTGTATGTCTGGTTAACGTTATTCCAGGCTTGAGTTGGCTTGTTTTTTTCCCAGAGTTCCTCAGATCACTGAGAAGATAAACAATATAAATGTATGACAGGTTTCAGAGTGGTTCCTGTGTTAGTCTGTATCAGCAAAAAGAACAAAGAGTACTTGTGGCACCTTCGAGACTAACAAATTTATTTGGGCATAAGCTTTCGTGGGCTAAGACCCACTTCATCAGACGCATGGAGTGGAAAATACAGTAGGAAGATATATAGATATATACACACACACACACACACACAGAGAGAGAGAGAGAGAGCATGAAAAGATAGGGGTTGCCATACCAACTCTAATGAGACAACTCAATTAAGGTGGGCTATTATCAGTAGGAGAAAAATCTTTTGTAGTGCTTTGCTAATTTTTGTGTGTGTTTTGCTAGATTCTCCAAATTCTATTTATTATAGGTAACCCTTGATCCACTGGATCATGGTGTATCCATAAAAGGTCTAGCCAGGTTCCTTATGAGTCCGCTTATGGCTGACAAGCCCTATTCTAGAGAGATACTGTTTGTTACAAATTTCACAGATCCATGTCTTGTCTGAGTTGGAGTCCAAGATTACAGTACACTGCGTTCTTCTTTCTCACTTTGCTTCCATCCTCTGGATCAAAGCTGCTTCATGTTGAGCTGCACCCAGTGCCAGATATTCCCTCCAGATTGGACAGGATTCTGCATGCTCCTCCTAGCTTTCTACATTGATGTTGAACAACTTCATATCACTTTTGCACACGTTTTGGTACTGCCATAAAGGGCGGCCCTGCTTTCTAGAGCTGTCTCGAAGCTCTCTGTACAAAATATTCTCGGGGATACAGTCTCCTCCCCTTCTCCTGACATGACCGAGCCATTGCAACCTCCTCCTCTTGTTAGTACAATAGAACCTCAAAGATACGAACACCAGAGTTCTGGACTTACTGGTCACCGGCTTCAGCCCTGCGGCTCCGTTCCTGGTTTCAGCCTTGTGGGGGGGCGCCAGGACTTGGGGCTTCAGCCCCGCAGCCTCGTTCCTGGCTTCTTCCCTGCAGGGGGTGCCGGTTTCAGCCCCAGCACTCCCCCTGTAGCTAAAGCCCTGAGTCCCGGCGTGCCTGCCTCCCCTGGCTGAAACCGGGAGTGGAGCCATGGGGTGCCCTGAGTCCTGGCACCCCCCGGGGCAGAAGCCGGGAATGGAGTGGTGGGGCTGAAGCCCCGAGCCTCAGCACTCCCCCCAGCTCTAAAGCCCTGAGCCCTGGTGCTCCTGAGGGTCAGAACCCCTGACCACCTCTCCCTCTGTGGCTGCAGCCTCTCCCCTGTCCCTCCAGTGGCTGAAGTCCATAACGTCTTGTTTGGAGTTATGGACATTTCAGAGTTATGGACAACCTCCATTCCTGAGGTGTCTGTAACTCTGAGGTTCTACTGTCATTTACTGTAAGTGTGTCAGTCCCGTGTGCTCTAGCATCTCTGTGTTTGGTATTTTGTCTTCCCACTTTATTTTCAGGATCTTGCACAGGTATCTCATATGGAAGCTATTCAGTCTCCTGATGTGCCTAGCATATGTAGTCCACATTTCTGAACCATAAAGCAAAGATGAAAGCACACAAGTCTCATAAATTTGCATCTTCACCTTTGTCGATAGTTTGCAGTTATTCCATGCATGTTTCTGTAAAAGCCTGAAATTCTTAGCTCCTTTTCCAAATCTGTTAGTCAATTCAGTCTGAAGGTCAAGATTCCTACTGATCATAGAACCCAAGTAGCAAAAACTGTTGACAACGCCAAGAGATTTACCCTCCAGAGTGATATCAGGTAGTAGTGAATCAGTTAGAAAGTCATTAAGTTTTCACTTACATATTTCTGTTTTTGTGATTTTTTTTTTAAGTGAAAGGGTTTTTCCTTTCCAATAAAACATTAGATAATATGCAGTTATGCTAAAAACTATGGAATAAGATTTTTTTAATAGTATGCTTCCCTCTTTCTTAAAAACAGGCATTGTCTATAAAGCAAAAGACCAAATAGATTTGTTCTTTAAATCTAGATTGCAGATGTACACCGAATAATCCCTCTTCATGCTAATTTAAAAGCCTTCTCAAAGGCATATGTTTGTTTATAGTGGAATGGTGCTAGCACCATAATTACAGTTGTGCCAGAGTTTTCATTAAAAAATAAGCTTTGATAGGAGGGGGGTGTTGTTTCTAACAAAAGGCATTTGTATCTGATGTTTCTTGTCCTCACTTTTAAGATGATTTAGTCTATTACCTTATTGTATTGTTACAGCTGTCTTTGCCCCATCAGTGTTCTCAGCCTTCACCACCTGCCAGATTACTTCTTCCACAAATATTTTTTCTCTTTATCCCTTTCCAGTCTTTATATATGATACACACTGAAAAGATTTGTAAATCGTATCTATCTTTAAATCCTTTCTTAAGATGCATTCAGAACATTGCTATTTGAAATAGCGAGGTAGATGGCAAACTACACTGTGGGCATAGTTAGTCTACACAAAAATTTGCTTGTTATTGTTTATCCTGTGGCATATGCCTATCTGTGTTATTTACTTCAGCTTTTTATCATTAATCTAGACTGTGAATGCCTTTTATACTGGGATGATCTCTTAAATACATTTATAAAGCCTCTAGTAAAATAGGGCCTGATCCCTGCTTAGAGCATCTATGTGCTACTGAAATATAAATAATAATAGTATGAGATCAAACATTTCAACTGTATAGCACCAGATCTGTGTTTTGTTTTGTTTGTTTGTTTGTTTTCCCCCTTCCCTTCTGCGCATCTCAGAATATCAGGAAATCCTGTATTGATTTCCTACTTACTTTCTAACAACTGTGCTGCTATTTGGAGCACCAGATTAATATGTTTACAACTTCATTTTTTTGTCAAAGGCACTAGTTCTCATTGAGAATGCAAATTCATGGCAAGTTTAAACTTCAATTTAAAAAAAAAAAAAAGCAGCAGCAGCTGTTAAGTTATTTGAGTGCCAAGAAAGCATCTGGACATATTTTTTGACTGGTCGAAAACACCTTTTTGTACTACATCATCATGGAGGAGCATTACAGCCCTTATATACCAAAATCCGGAACTGGAACTCCTGGTTTATATTAAACTTGTTTTTAATCGCCTGTAGTTGGACTACATTCCTATTCAGATTTACTTCTAGGTGCCACAGCTCTTAGAGCGAGGCGAAGAGTATGCTGGTCAGCTTTAAAAGGGTTACAGGTAGCATGGCTCTTTTGAAGCCAATCACTCTACAAAGCCAGCTATCATCCTATTCAATGTGCCTTAGGATTGGGGAGCCCTGAGTGAAGACTCTTTTGAAGCCAGTTGGCCTCTTCTTTACTGTGCTCTGGGGTTCTGGGACCTAGATTGCAGAAAATGTAAGTGTCCTGGATAGCTCCTGCAGTTTTCCAACCCTCAGATTTTCCTAAGGTTTCTCATGTGCCCTGCCATTTTTGGAAAATGGGAGTTGTGTTATACTGTATTTTTTACTTTTTACACAGATAACTCAAGTACCTGAATAGAACTTTACAAAATTTTAAAAACTAAACAATACAAAACCCTTCCTTTGTTCTGAGAATAAGTACTGGCTTTGAAATTTTACCTGAAGGGGTATCATTGTTTTGGGTGTGAAAGTTATTGCACTGTGATACGGACATAAAATGGAAGTGTCTTCTCTACCTTAATTATTGTGTTGATTATTATACAAATAATAAAGTACAACAAAACTCAAGATATATTAGGCAGTTGACAGGTAAAGATGTTCTGAGTCCCTGACCTGAAAAGTTTACAATCTAAATACTATAATTTATAAACCAGTTTATATTGATACACTTTATCACTGAAAACCTTAACTACAGTTTTTTCTTGTTACATGCTGCCAACAGTACAACAGCACAGGGTAATTAAAGTAAAATAAAGATCTGTTCCAGGCAGAACTGCAGTTGACTGAATTATAAAAATGTGCACGAGGGGGCAGCATAGGAACTTTAAATGTCAACTGAAATTCAACAAATTTCTTATAGGGAAATAAGATTAACAAAACATGATAATTGGCTTTTATGTAACATTTTTCTTTGAATTGTATGCAATTATTAGCAGGACAAATATATTCTAAATTAGAAATTATCAATTAACTAATTGATTTCTGTATAGTGTGCCTGAATTTTGAACTGCTGTCTTCATAGTAGCTAACTCTTATTTTAACAGCCTCAAACCAAACTAAAAAAGGCTGCTTCTTCCATAAACTGTTTGTTGATGAGGGGTTATAGCTATTGTAAACTACGATCTGCAATCAATAACTATCTCTTTTATGAAATATTTTCTTAATAGTTAGCAGCTGCTGTTTGACTGTCTCTACAGTGGAAGCCACTTATTTCCTTGTGGTTATAATAACAAATTGCTAGCAATAAAAATATAAAATTGTACCATTGTAAGGCCTACATCTTCTCAGAGTTGGAATCTGGAAACCATTTAATAGTATTTAAATGGATATTTTGCCTTCAGGTCAAATTCCATTAAAATATGATACATATAACTAACTATTCATGGTTCTTTTCTTTGATGTTGTATTGCCTATATACTTTAGTAAAGAAATTTCCTTGAAGGTAAAACTCAAGTCTCCTTTCTATTGACTTCACAAAATTAGATTTAGGGCTACCATAATCTGTAGGTGAATTAAGAGGGAGGTTCTTTTGTAATTGTTGATCTTGGTGGTGGTGGTGGGGTTGTGTTCTGTAGAATCAAACCTTGTCTGACAAAGTATCTGGTAGCACTTCAGATGGCTGAGGCAAATGCAAGGGTGCCTAAACCATTTTACAAGCACCTTCCAATGCCACACTCCTCCAGATCACAGATACCGTGCCTTCTTGACCTACTCCTTTCAACTGTCCTCCTAACAGCCCTATTGACTTCAGCTGGAATTTTTGACACACAGCACCTCTGATAATCAGGTTCCAAACGCCTTACATTAAGCATCCAAACAATGAGGTTCACAACATTTTGAAAATGGAGGCCCTTTGCTTCTAAGCTTTCCATTATTTGGATAACTTTGTAAAAGAGAGCCTGATTCAGAGCCCGAAGACCGTAAATGACAGTGGAAATATCACCCTCCTAGAGTTAGAGTTCTTTTTAGGCTGAGACCTTTCATCAGCAAAATTCTTACAGGTCCTAGTGGAACTGCAAAGGTCCAGGAAAGGGAATCAACCATACTACTTAGACTCTGGTTTCAGTACTGTAAGTTTGGTGGTGTTCAACCTTTTGCTGGGGATGGGGGTGAGTCCTAAGGGTAAGTGGTCATAGAGGCTGATTAATCAGAGAATAGCATTCTCTGACTTTGGAAGCCTGATATTAAAAAGGTTCATTGCAGTTTTATTTTCTGGGGAAGTTTTGTGCTACAATTTGACTAATATTAGTCTGATCCGCTGCTAAATTACCTATCTGAATGGGTTGATTTTAAGCAAACAAACTGTACAGTCTCTATTTTAGCAACATATTATGCAAGATTAATTATATATTGGCAATAGTATATTTACAGGCAATTCAGTGTTTCTCATTTGCATTTTTCTTTTTAGATACATCACAGTGAAAACCCAATGTCTGAAGCAAATCTTTTTTTTTTTTTTTTTAAATCAACCCTTGCACAATATGACAATGTGTTGACTCAGCCATACCAAAACAATTACTTCATATGACCTGGCTTCACATCCATATTTATGTGGCCAGAGGATTTTTTACAAATGTGCCTAATATCAAGAGCTAAAATTGTAAACCTGATTTTCAGTGAGACAAATAAAACTGCTGTTGATCTTATGGAACAAATTGAATCAAACTTCAGAAAGTATTTTATGTTCCAAGACAAATTACCTTTATGAGCTTTTTGAAAATCCTAATGGTATTTTATATGCAAAAGAAGTCTTTAGATCTTTAAAAGATAAATCATCAAACTGGTACAATAACCAAGTCTTGCCATAGGCGAAAACTCTGCTCTGCTTAGTTTATCATTATCTCACAAGTAAAGATCTCCAAATGCCCCATTGTTGCTAACGTATATAGAGGCTTGAAAGAATTTCATTTTTATTTTTTCATTAGTTTTGATGGACAGTGATTTTTACATAGAAGTATTTCTTTAGTGTTAATTGACGTTGATATTGCAGGAATTTAAAAATATTCAGATACTATTTCAAATTTTGAGTAAATAAAAATGACCATGTAAAAATCAACTATGTAATAAAATCAGGAATAAAACATGTATTATTTTATATTATTTTGTCACTAATTACCTGATAGCATTGGCAGCAAAATGTGCGCCAGTTGGAAAAGTATCAAATTGTTACATTTTATAGGATACTTTTTTAACATTGTGAATTTGGATTATTAATGAAAGACATTTTTCATCTGTTTTTGGTTGGAGAGAAAAATCAGCAAGGATTGATGTTTACTGATTTAAATCAAACTCTTTGAAGCCTATATCTAAAAGCTATTTTTAAAATGCTGAATAATTATATCCAATCAATATGTTATCTCCGGATGAATGTTAGAAATAGATTTTCTGATATTTCCATTATTATTTTTGTTAGGTCATGATGGTGCAATTAACTCTGTTGGCTGGAGTCATGACAAGAGGTGGTTAGTTTCTGCATCAGAAGACAGAACATTAAGGATCTGGTCAGTCCGCAATACAGAACCTGCCCTATTTCTGGTAATGAGTAACTCATGTCAGTTAGACACATAGTAGGCCCTGTTCTGCATATTATCAGTACCCAAAACTCTTTTGTGGGAGCCCAGCTTAGGACACACAGTGCTTGACTCAGTATTACCAACTTCAACATATGAAAAATCATGAGTCAGAACACCAAAATCATCAGATTGGCCAAATTTTTTTAAAAAAAGACTATATTGGGTTTTTTAGGTCAGTCTCTGGATTTTTGAACCCCCCCTGCCCATCTCCAGAGTGTGTGCATATGACAATTAGTGTTGCCCACTCTCCCACATGTACTGGATAAGGTGATTTTGGCCCCTGTTTGCAGGAGCTCTCACCTCCACATCTGCCACTCTCCTGCCCTGCAATTAATCCAACCCCCCTCAATTCAGCCCCCTTTCAGTTCTGTTCCTAGGCCTCCATCATCATCACCCCATCAGTTCAGGCCCACTGCCCCACCAACCCCCACCAACCTCAGTTCACCATCCCAGCACTCACCCCATCTGCCCAGAACCCACCATCAGTACAGCCTCCCCACCTCATGAGCCCCCATCCTCTTCACTTCAGCCCCCGTACAGCTCCCAGGCCATAGTTCAGCCTCACTTCTGCTCCTCTTAGGGTTCTTCACGCTCCTCAAGCCTGGGGTGGCTGTAGTGGGGTCCCCTCTCCCACTTCCCAGGCTGGCAGGGGAGCAGCTTCCCGGGGCAGACTGTCACTCATTTCTAAGTAAAATTAAGCCTCACTCATGATCTCAGTGATAGAACTCTACAATGTCAGGATTTTTTTTCCAGCCATGGCTGATCATGAGAGAGGCTTAATTTTACTTGGAAAGCATGTCTTTCGGGATAAATTTGCGAGAGTTGGCATGTTGTCTGACTTTGAGTTGCTGAGTACTTACAGCTCTGACACCAGTGAGAACGATGGGTACACAGCACCTTTGCAAGTCAGGCCTTGCATATTTCAAGTTATATAACCAAAAATTGAGGCACCCAAACTTCTGGAAGTTTTGCCTTTATTCACTATATAATTCTTCATACTTTTATTGGCTATAGTCTGTAACACCATGTTTAATTTCAGTCTGTCCCTGAATTCTGATTTAAAAAAATGGAAGTTTAATATGTTAAACCAGATTATATTAGATTTAACTGACTACAGATGTTATTAACGTTGGTGCCAACTAATTTAAACAAAAAAAAAGAGTAGACCTTGGGATGAGTAAGTATTGTCAACGAAAAGGGCATATCTTTACTCAGTTAACCTGTTACATCTTAGTGCTATAAATTTCCTGGAAAAAATTATATAGTATATATTATATAGATTCTATTAATAATTATTCACTTTGCATTTCAGGGCAAGGAGATGTTCCATAAATCTATACGCTTTGCACAGTTTTATTACATAGATACATTTATATTGCTGTGTTGTGGAGCTGAATTTCATCTGTTAAGTTACTATCTTGACACGAGCAAGGATGACCTAAAACGGTTGGTAAACATTTCCATTAATGGAACAGTGGAAGTATTCTATCAGTAGGTGCTTTGTATTATTTTAACAAAAGTAATCTTACATATATCTTTGTCCGGGCATCACAGAATGAAAATGAATCCTGTCCCAAAAGTTTTTTGATCAAGAATGTATTATCAGAGGCAAAGGTTACTACTACTATTGTCGTTAAACTTCTGAAACTGCTCCTTACATTCTGTTGCCTCTGCTGAAATATGTATTCATGCCTTAATTACTTCTCATTACAGTTATTGCAACTAACTTTTTTTATGGTCTTCCTAAATATTTTCTGAACTTCAGAGGTAGCCAAACTTCATTTGCCAGAGCAGGAAAGCAACCATATCACTTCAATCACTTTCACTGGCTTTCTGTCACCACATACAATTCAAATATTGTTTTCTTAGTCTTGAAACTTCTGCATGGATTTCCTCCATTCTGCTGTAGACCTGTTCTACTATATCCACCTACTCCTCCCCCATTACCCTGTTTTTCTAGTTCTTGCCTTCTCTTAGTCCTTTTCTCAAGTCTCCCCACTGTTACAGGTCATTCTCTCACTTGAACTGACCCAATTATACAGAAATGCCACTGACTTCCTGTTAATCTTTTAATTTACAACTGAAACTTCACACCCTCCCAATCTCCCATTACTACATGTTTTCCGTTCACTGTTGCTAGTTTACAGCAATACTTTTGTGCATCCGTATAATTCTAAAAATTCATCTTTGATCTTTGTTTTTATGTCACCACTATTCTGCAATTTCCTTTCTATTATTTTTCATTTCTATTTTTTTAAACTTTAAAAAAATGTTTAGGCAAACTGCTCTTTTTTTAAAAAAAAAAGCTTTAAGATTATTTATTTTGTTTTATAGTGGTACTGTAGATTTTGGGGCAGGGATAGGAAAGAATTAAGGGCAAAAGAGTATGGATATAGTGCTTACTACTGTGAGTTAATAGTAAGCACGTAAGCTCCTAAATTGGGGAAACTGTCATAACTTCATTGGCCCTGTGGCTCCAGTTCATGGTAAGCATGTGCTTAAGTCCATCCCATCATCTTCACTGGGACTTAAGACGTGCTTAGGTGCTCTCTTGAACAGGAATACTTTCCTGAATTGAGGCATAGGGCTAGTAAATGCACATTCGAACTCTAAAACTATAATCTACAGTACCAAAACACTGAGCTAAAATAAAAAAATACCTTTAATTTTTTTTTAAAAAAGGTTTATGTCTAAAAAACCTGGTTTTGAACATATAGACTTTAGATTCATATATCTTAAAGTCGGAAGGGACCATTATTATGATCTAGTCTGACTTTGAACAGTAGATTGACAACGGAGATTAATTCCTACTTTGAACAAAGTATAGATGTCTGCTTAGAATTAAGCATTCAATTCCTGAGCACTTGTGATTCCCTACTTTCCATCATTTTTAGGAGTGGCCAGAGTAATAGTAACTCTATCCCCTCTCCTTGATGGAGATTGTTGTGATCCTTATTTATATGAATTTAGACTTGCTGCCAGCCATCTGAACAGAAAGTGTAGTTGCACCTTTTTCCACAGTTTTAGGAACCAAGGACTACAAAATGCCAAGAATTATTATCTGTTTTACATTGGTTTCTATTAACTTTAATGAAATAAAGAATATTTTTTAGCTTTGCAAGTAAATGTATTTTCCTCAGCTTTCCACAACATCTCAGAACCCACACTATAAACATCTCGCATTCTGCAATGTTTACCTTGCAGCATGGTCTTCTAGTGGTTATAGTGGAGAACAGGGAATAAGGAAACTTGAGTTCTGTTCCTAATTCTGCCAGTGATCGATTGTATGACTTCAGACAAGTAACTTAAATGTTCTTTGCCTTAGTCTTCCTTTCTGTAAAATGGGGGTAATACTCCTTACCTACCTTTGTAAGTCCATTTTTTGATCCTAAAATGAGATGCTATAGAAATTCCAATCCTGATGTTTTAGATCCAAATGACTGCAGCTTTATTTTCTAACTCTAAGCTTGTTTAATGAATTGATTTTCTTAGTATTTTTGTGGACTTACTCAGACGCTACGAAGCAATTATGTTGTAGGATAACTGTACGATATCTAGATATCTCTATTTTTGTTCAAATATTTTCCTCTCGATGCTGCAGGTATCCATTAAATTAGTATCACTTAACAGAGCAACGCCAACTCCCAGCACCATGCCATTAATTTCCTGGGGTTATTTTTTGTAGTGCTAAAAAGGACAAACTTGAAATTGTTGACATTATTAAAAAAACCTAAAATTATTCTAAGGGCAAGTTGTTCTTTATTACCAAAAAAAAAAAAAAAAAAAAAAGGTATTTTAAAAAAGTTTAATTTGCTTTGACATTTTCTTTATGGCTTCCGTCCAGTCCATTTTGTGGCATTTTTACTTTTATAAAGCACAGTGTCACTTCTTTTGTTTCTCACAACTCTCATTCCATGCTCTGAGTTTGGAAAAATGCTTGTTGGAACAGATTCAAGAAGTCTAGAAGGAACCATAAAGAATGCTTTAATCCTTTAATTAGAAGAGCAGGGTAATGCAATCTGGATGGCCAATGGATTCTCTCATTTTTTAGAGGTAAAGACAATACAATAATAAATAGTAATAACAATCTTAATACTTTTCCCATTCTGTGGGGCCTTCCAAACAAGAGTGTCAAAGAGTTCTGTAAGCGTTAAAGAATAAACATCACAATATCCCTGTGAAGTGGGTAAGTATTTTTTAAATGAGAGAAGTGAGTCAGAGAGAGCCTTCTTTGCAAATGTCACACAAGAGGTTTGTTGCAATCGTAGGAGTAGAATCCAGATGGCCTGACTACTGCATCTATGATTAAATGCAAAATCATCCTTTTTATCGACAACTTCCTTTACACACTCTGATGTTACCATTTAGTTAAATTTCCTCATGTCAGCATACATAACTGCTGATAAAAGCAGTGAAAATTCACTATCTGCCATTAATTTTAATTTGTTTTCAGATTGTGATGCTTCACATCCTTACATGCATTCAGTCCATTTAAAGAATGTGAAGCAGACAATTTTTTTTTTTTTCCAATTTTGCAGTCAGCCTGACATACCTTTTAAAGAAGGGAATCAACAGTATGTAAGGAATACAAAATGAGATAAAAACACTATTGAAATGACTGTGAACTATTAATATGTATATCATTTATTTGAGCACTTATTCATAGTAACAGTATGTACCTAATAAGTGAACAAACTATGGGACATGTTCTCTGACATTTTAGAATGTCAAGCTGTATTAGAGAGAAATTACCTCACCCACTATCTTTTACTGGACCAACTTCTGTTGGTGGAAGACAAGCTTTTGAGCTTCACAGACTTAACAGAAGTTCATCCAATAAAAGATACTATCTCACCCACCTTGTCTCTCTCGTTCTGGGACCAACATGATTACAACAACACTGCAAACAAGCTGTACCAGCACATGGATAGGCAGAATTCCATGCTAAGTGTTTCAAGCTAAGAAAAGTCCTTAAAATGCTGATAAATAGCAAAATGTTGAGTTCAGGTACTTCAGAAGAGTTTATGTTCAACAGGATACCCAGGGGATCACGTGGAGTTTTACTGCTCAAAAATAAGCTTGTTCTAGCTCTCTACCCAGTGCTTATTAGGGTTTGTTGTTATCCAGTAAATCCGATTTCTGACTAGCTCGGTAATAGTGCTTAATATTAGTAAATCCAATCCTCCCTTTTGTCATGGCCCTTGTAAAGTTGATTGCTTAACCCTGGATTTCTTATTTCCCCAAGTGAATTTGTTTACTATGGATTGCCATTGATTGGATTGGCAAGAGACTCCCTGGAACTAAAACTGGAAGTGTTTGAAAGATGCAGTTGTTAAAAATCTAAGCAGTCATCCATGCTAGTAGATAATGCGACATCAAATAGAAAGGATTTAAAACTAGAAGGACCAAGCAAGTCACTAAATTGAATATGCAGAGATATAGCTAAGAATACATCCCTCTAGTGCAGGGCTGTGTTACTAGTCATGTAGGTAATGAAACAGAAGGTACTGAAAGGAAAGTCTCTCTTGAGTTAATGGAACACGCAAGAGAAGTCTCTGCATGTTCATTTGATGACATTTCAGATCATATCACCAGGAGGCCTGTACCTGATAAAAATATTGAGAGTTGCACGTCTGCAGAAAATGGAGAGGGCCTACAGTTGTATTCAAAAGTGAATAGCAAAACTCCGTGGGTGCTGGGTCTAATGATGTAAACCACATGGCCCCCAAGAAGTGATGGCAGGGTTTTAATCAAAGCAGTGCTAGACCCAGTCACATGCTAAGAGATCTAGGGAAGAAGAGAGCTCCACGAGTGCCTTTGGGGGTGTGAATTCTAGTGCCTTTTTCACTGAAGGGAAATGAGTGTGTGGAGCACAGGCCTGCCACCCTCTCCAAGGTGCTTGAGGGTGAGACCTAACAAACCAGGACTGTGAGATTCAGTTAGAGTTGGTTGTGAAATATCTGAATGTAAGTGATAGGCCAAACTATGATGTGATGCACACAGACTCAGAGCTTTGCCGTTTTACACCCAAGTAAACTCTTCACAAGATAAGGAGTTCAGTTTACATCCAACTGTGTTTGTGTGTGTGTGTAATCCTTTAAAAATATAAAACATTGTGTTATTGACTGGGCTAGTTTGAATATGGCTGCCACCTAACCACAGATAGTGTGTGATGATGTGTTCATGGGCATCTCCAAAATAAAGTGTGAAGCAGAGAGGAGGTTGTAAAACGAATTATTATGTAATCAAACATTTTGGTCTAAAAACTGAAATATACTGCTCAAATATACACTGAAATGCAAGTACAATATTTATATTCCAATTGATTTATAATTATATGGTAAAAATGAGAAAGTAAAACATTTTTCAGTAATAGTGTGCTGTGACACTTTTGTATTTTTATTTCTAATTTTGTAAGCAAGTAGTTTAAGTGAGGTGAGACTGGGGGTATGCAAGACAAATGAGACTCCTGAAAGGGGTACAGTAGTCTGGAAAGGTTGAGAGCCACTGGTCTACACTACACAGGTTGACATAAGGCAGCTTATGTTGACCTAATTATGTTAGTGTCTACACTACAGCCTTCCTCCCCCCGATGTAAGAGCCCTACTGCACTGACATAAATCCATCTCCATGAGAGGTGTAAGGCTTATGTTGGTGTAGTTAGGATGATACACCTCTACCTCGATATAACGCTGTCCTCGGGAGCCAAAAAAATCTTACCGCGTTATAGGTGAAACTGCGTTATATTGAACTTGCTTTGATCCGCCGGAGTGCGCAGCCCCGCCCCCCCGGAGCACTGCTTTACCGCATTATATCCGAATTCGTGTTATATCGGGTCGCGTTATATCGAGGTAGTGGTGTACAGTGTCTGTGTAGACACTGCATTCCTTACATTGGCTGTTGGCAGGAGCCGTGAAATTGATAAGCAAGCGGACATCTAAAGCCCAGCTGTCTCCCACTCTCCTGGAGAGCTGGGTGGCTGGACCCCACTCCTGGTTGGGAGCCGGGGTGAGAATGGACCCTGCTGGGGCAAGAAGCCCGGGCAGCTGGACCCGACTCTCGGCTGGGGGCCCAGACAAGAATGGACCCTGCTCCCAGCTGGGAGTCAGGGTGAGAAGTTTGGGCAGCTGGACCCTTCTCCCAGCAGGGAACGGGAAGTGGAGGGGGAGGGCAGCCCGCCGGGAGCCGGTGGGGTAGCAAGGCTTCCGGCAGGAAGCTGCCAGAGGAGCTGAGAGACTGGGCTCTCAATTCCCCACACTGCCCCTCTTAGGTTAGTGGAAATGCTCCTGGTGAGGATGCGCACCACCGACCCAAGGAGGGTAGTGTGGACATGCACCACCGCAGTAATTACTGTGGTGGCTGTAAGTCAACCTAATATAGGTCAATTTATGTTTCTAGTGTAGACATATCCTAAGAGGCTGGGGTATGTGGTGGCAGTAAGCTTTAAGCCATGTTTGCATCATCCTAATCCTGGGCTGCTCTGGGGGCTGGAGAGGACCATGGTGGCATAATTTAGACAGTCCTGGGGGGTCAATTTAAATTATGACAGCATCCCAGGTTGCCTTAAGGGCTTCAGCATTGTGTGCTTGTGATGAAGTCCTTGGAAGGCAGCCTTTTGGCCGTCTTCCACAGTGCTTCCAACAGGTGTATCCTCCCCAAACTTCAACCAGGGCTTTTCAGGCCCCTTTACACCTCTGTGACTGTTTGACCCAACACAAAGTGGGCAGAGTGGTGGTGAGGTTCTTACTGTTGGACTTAGTTTTAATTTCCTCTGCTCAGTTGTGATGCTGAAACAGAAATATTTTTTCTTTCCTTTTAATGAATTCTTATCCTGCTCTAGGATTATCAGGTGAATAAAATTTTAAATAAAAACACACAACATTTTGTTCCAAATGAAATATGTATCGCTTCCAGAATACCCCTTACTTTCTGCAAGGAATACTAAGTTCCTGTGGATCCTTTCTATCTGTTAACTGCAGTCAGTTTTCTGAAGTCACCTCCTCTTTCATAGTCATATCCCTCATTTTGTATAATCTTCCTTTCCATCTGCAGTCAAGCACTAAAAGGTTTCCTTTCCTCTACTCCTCACAATTGCACTCTGTCATTCCAACCTCTTCATCCCTCCAATCAGTGCTCTGACTAACTCTCCACAAAATCCTATACACCATCACAGCTATTCTTCCCAGAGCAAAGCTAGCATTCTGTCCCTGAAAGTGGAGAGGAAAAAAATTATATACGGTTCCTCTGTGTGACCACAGTGCCTCCTGAATGTGCTAGGGCCTCTCATTTGGGATGGATTCTTCTTTTTTTTTCTTTTCAATTAATTTTTGTTGCTTTCCCTTCCAGTTGTTGGCGAAAGAGTATTCTACTCTTTGAGCCTGATCCACTTCTCATTGGAGTTAATGGAAAGACTTCCATTGACTTCATGGGATTTGGAACAGGTCCTTTATCTATTGTTCATGCATGTTGGGGAGGGAAGATATCTGTGCCTGTTTCTCCAGACTCAGCTCATGGGATTTGTTTGCTCCATGTTTACCACTCTGTCTCATGGAGTACTGAATTCACCCGTGAGCAGTGTTTTACCTGAACCATGGCAGAGCAAACAGAGTGCCTGTTGCTAAAACTTGAAATCTTTCCTGACCAGTCTGCATTTGGATACATTATGAGAGCTCAACCAATTTTTTTTAAAAACCTTTCAGACTAGATCTCTAGTACCGTGCCGGGGGTCAAACAAGGTAGGGTTTGTTTGTTTTCTCATCCATTTTCTCTTCTCCCTCATACACAGCACGTGAAATACAGCACCATACCTATTGATATTTCTACTTGCATAATCATTATAATTGGAAGATTTACTCTTAACACCTTCTGGATGAAGGCTGAATTATTTTGATTTTAAGTAGGTGGAAAGTTGAACATCAGTACGTTAGAGCAAAAAGTACTCATGCCTACGTTACGTGTAAACATGTTTTTTCCTACTATGAGTCTTCCAACTAAATTGTTTTTTAGCTGAACCTTTATATTACTGTGGCTTTGTCTGGTAATAAAAAGGGGATCTTGGCTTCCAGATGTTTCACTAGAAGTTTACTTTTGGTCATAAATTATGACTCTTTTTGCTAAATAGTACATTAATCTCAATCTTTTGCAGATATAAACAGAAGAGCATTTGCAAATCAGTACAGAAATTCCCCATGGCTTCTACTGTGGAGATTACCAGCCTTTCAGCAATAAATGATTTCCACTCTTGTATCCTGGGTCCTGGATAATTATTGTTTCTGTACAGTATTTTAGGCTGAATGGCATGGAAATATTCAAGTTAAAAAGTTGGCATGAACTCTATAGCTAGTATCTTTTTCTACAATTATAATACTAACGTAATTTTTCATAGTAGTCTTGTTGGACTCCAGCCTAGCAGATTCATGTATTTAGATTGTAAATTCTTTGAGGCAGGGACTGTTTTATAATATTATATGTTTGTATATAGCAACTAGCACAGTGAGGTCCTGCTCCATGACTGGAATCCCTAGGCATGACCACCAAATAAATCAATAATACTTAGAGTAAAATTATTTTATATTTTTATGAAAGAATTGTTGCCTTAAAAATGTCAGATTCCAAGGCCACAAGGGACCTCTATGAGCATCTAATCTGACCTCCTGTATAACACAGGCCATAGACCTTCCCCAAAATGATTCTTAGAGCAGATCTTTTAGAAAAATATCCAATCTTGATTCAAAAGTTGTCAGTGATTGATAATTCACCATGACCCTTGGTAAATTTATTTCACTGGTTAATTACCCTTAATGTATGTGGACTCAGGAATATTTTACTTATAATCTGATTTCTGACACTGACCTTGCTTAAATCACTTCATGACTCTGCTTCAGCTTTCCCATCTGTAAAATGGCAGTAATAGTACTTCGCTACCTCACTGGGCTATTGTGAGAATTAATTTGATGTTTTTAAAATGTTTGGAGGCAACTTCCCCTCCCCCAAAATACTATATAAATGCTGCTATTATATATGCCTATATAGTGATGTATTCTATAGATGCTATTAGCAAGAATTTGGGATGACCATTTTATGCTTGGCAAAGCCACAAGTGAATAATCCTATTCCACACACATGTAGTATTGTATTTAAAAAAATCAATTTTCTTGCAGGCTGCTGACATACTTTGGCCTATTTGCTAGTAAGAATCTGGCTGTTGAAATAGTTAAGGAGTTTGTTTCAATTGAAGTATGTATATATTTGTGCCTATTTTTGATCGGTACGGGTATTCTGCTTATGGAAATTTAGTATATATTTATGAATCAAGTAATTTATAAAACTAGATGTTATTAAAACATCGGTATTTTTTTTTTGCTCTTGTCTCCATTAGATCTGTTTGTGTTGTTTGAACTTTAACTCACAGAGGTTACAGATATTATACTTGCAGCTGGTAGCAACCGAACATTAGAAGTTTTTGACCTCAATGCAGGCTGCAGTGCAGCAGTGATACCAGATGCTCATTCTAGATCAGTCCACCAGATCTGTCAAAATAAGGTAGGTATTTTATTGATTTTTTTTTTAAAATATTAACATACACAATGAATAAGGAGCATTCAGAAAACATTAGGTGATGATTTAAAAAACTTGCTCGCTCTCCTGTGCAATGTATTTAGTGTACAATAAGATCAAAGGGCTAGATCGTCACAGCCTTTATTTAGCTGCGAAGAGGAGTAAGCAAGATATTCTCTTGCTCCATGCTCGGCCCTGCTCAGGTGCACGACAGTGCTCCTCTTCTTATTCAGGGTAGATTGTAACATTACAGTCTAGTCTAACATGAGCTATTTACAGCAACCAAACTCCAAAATACATTTTCGACCTCACAATGATTTTATAGCTTTCTATTATCCCTATTTGATTTTCTCGTTTAGCTTTGCAATACCCTGTTCAATGAAGCTTCTTAAGAGTCCTCCAAATCTATTTATTTCAAAACATTTTAATGCAGATGGATTACATTTACATTGTGTTTTTTTATGAGACCCAGATAGATTTTGTGATAGAGGGAACAACTTGAATTAATAGTCTTTTGCCAAGGGCAGTGAAGATAGGTCTGAGTTTCCCATCATTTTCCAGATTATTTGTGCGTCCTTAAAATCTATGCTGCCCCGAGCCAAAGTGGTCAGTGAGTTGTAATGAAAGGTACTCCCTACCTCCAGGGCTAAGTATCCTTCCAATTTTCTGCTGCCAACACAGGATTGAGCTAGGCCATGTACACACTACAGCTTAAATTGGTATAAATTATGTCACTCGGGGTGTGAATAAGCCTCCTTTCGAGTGACGTAAATTACACCGACCTAAGTGCTGGTGTGGACAGGGCTATGTGAGTGTGAGAACTTCTCCCGCCGACATAGCCTCCACAGCTTGCAGAGTAATTAAGTCCACGGGAGAGTTCTCTCCCATCGGCTTAGAGCGTCTGCACTACTAGTGTTACAGTGGTGCAGCTGCAAGCTCTGCAGTGTATTTAGCCTTAGTCTCTGCTCTGCTCCTCTCTGTACTAATCTGCTGTTGTGAATACTGGGCCAGCTAAAAGCTTCAACTAAATGTTCTCCTATATAATAGCAGATTATTACTTTTTAAAAGGTCCAAGCAGGGGTGAAAGTAATTTAAAGGATTTATCGGTACTCCAGAGTCCTTAGGAGGGGCGGGGCCTTGGCTGGAAGAGGTGTGGCCTCTACCGGAAGAGTCGGGGCCTTTAAATCCCCAGGCGCTTTAAATCAGGATTTAAAGGGCCCGGGGCTGTGGTAGCAGCAGCTAGGAGCCCCGGGCCCTTTAAATCACCCCAGGAGCTACCAGCTGCAGAGGCGGCTGGGAGCCCCGGGGGTGATTTAAAGGGCCCGGGGCTCCAGCTGCTGCAGCAGAGCCCCAGGCCCTTTAAATCACTATCGGAGGGGGCTCCCGGCTGCTGCTGCTACCCCAGGGCCCCGGCCTCTGGCGGAGCTTTAAAGGGCCCAGGGCTCCATTGCAGTAGTGGCAGCCGGAAGCCCCTGGCCCTTTAAATCGCCGCCAGAGCCCCGCCACCGCTACCCCAGGGCTCCAGCAGCGGGGCTCGGGTGGCGATTTAAAGGGCCCCGGAGGGTAGCGGCAGTGGGAGCCCCGGGCCCTTTAAATCGCCACCCGAGCCCCGCTGCCGGAGCCCCGGGGTAGCCACGGCAGCCGGGGGCTCGGGCAGTGATTTAAAGAGCCCGGGGCTCCGGCTGCTGCTACCGCCCCGGGCCCTTTAAATCGTCCCCGGAGCACTGCTACCAGAGCTCTGGGGTAGCGGTGGCGGGGCTCCGGCAGCAAGTTAAAGGGCCCAGGGCGGTAGTGGCGGCTGAGACCCTGGCCCTTTAAATCGCTGCCGGTGCCCCGCCGCCACTACACCAGGACTCAGGCAGGCTCTGGGGAGGATTTAAAGGGCCTGGGGCGGTAGCGGCAGCCAGAGCCCCGGGCCCTTTAAATCACTGCCCGAGCCCCCAGCTGCCGGAGCCCTGGGGAGGTGGAGGTGGGGCTCCGGCGGCTATTTTAAGAGCCGGGGAGTAGCGGCTGCCGCAGCCCCAGACCCTTTAAATAGCCACCGGAGCCCCACCGCCGCTACCCCAGGGCTCTGTTAACGATTTAAAGGGCCTGGGGCTCCCAGCAGCAGCTGGAGCCCTGGGCCCTTTAAATCGCCGCCAGAGCCCTGCTGCCGGAGCCCTGGGGAAGCGGTAGCGGGGCTCTGGCGGCAATTTAAAGGGCCCAGGGCTCCAGCCGCTGTTGGGAGCCCCAGGCCCTTTAAATTGCCGCCAGGGGAAGCCTATCCGCCCCAGTACGGCACACCAGCTTACTTTTACCTCTGCATCCAAGCTTTTTGTTATTTTGAAGAGTTCTTGTAACAAAACACAACTGCCCATTTGTACAGATACAATAGTTGTCAGTGAGGTTTGAACCATAGACCTTCAGTGCCAAAAGCACCACTTGAGCTAAAGGAGAACTTTTACCCAGGAGACAGTAGTAGACTGTATGGCACTAGTCACCAGAGACATCACATACACTGAGCTGATGTATTATATACACATACCTCCTACACTCTGCTGGCTCCCTGGTCTATTATGGGCTCAGTTCAAGTGCCTGATCCTCATTTTCAAAGCCCTTACACGAAGGCAATTAATCTATCTACTGGATAGGAATATGTGGCCCTTCAGGGATACTTCTCTGGGGCCAGGGTAGAGCAGTTTCATTGCAGGTAGTCCGTGATGTTGGAACCCCGTACTATAAGAAATCTGGATATGCCTGACATTTGGAAACAGTGCAAAACCCATCTTTTGGGGGCAGGCCTTCCTCCAGTGATGCGGAAAGAATGACCCAGTGACATTTCTCATGAAATAGTAACCTGTTTAAAAGCAAAACCTGAACCAACCTAAAATTCCTCCGTTTGTGATTAGAAATAGCTACAGAAGCAGACATGTCAGTGGAGGTGTCTGCAAACTGCTTATGTGTGGAAGCTGAACTACTGCCTTGTTTGGTTTTTTGTCCTAAGAAACCAAGTTTAGTTGGGAGTTGGTGGATGGAGGCAAGAAAGTGAGGGAAAAGAGCTTTGGAGACTAAGGAAGCATTAATCTTCATCTGCTCTTCCCTCACTGTGAGCCTAGCAGCCCTTTTTGGGCACTTGCAGACCTCACTGTCCATTACAAAAATTATTTTTTCCAATTTAGTTTTTGTAATGGAAAGTAGTCATTGGATCACAAACTGCATCAGAAAGTCAACTGGGTTCATGGAGACTGGAGGAGAGAAAAGGGACCTCACAGGTCCTGGGAATGTGAAAAAAAGAAAGTGTTTGATTTTTTTAAAAATTTATTTACAATATGTATAGCCAAAATTGGGGAGAGAAGATGGTAATTTTCTTTTCCCTACTTTCTCTCTGCTTTCTTCTAGGAAATACTTCTCCTAGTGGAGAGGAGTGCCTCTCTCTCAAGTTGTTTTTTAAAACAATTTTTTATAATAATGAAATGTGGAATAACTGAGACATAGTTTAATAAAAGTAATCAAGTTCGGGGTGTATATTTAGTAGACTATTGGCGTAATTCTCCAATGATTGATTATAGGCACTCTGCATTCAATCTACCACCACACAATCTAATCAAGTCACACACTGATGATAATATTAATTCACGCAATGGAGTAGCTTATTTCTACATTAAGCACCAACTTCTCATTTGCATTTATGCTTCAGCACATAGACTTTCAGATTTATAGTTGGATCAGAGGATTTGGGATTTTTAATTTTTTTTAAAGTTTTGATTCCCTTATACAACTACAAAGTTTCCTATATAATCTATAACTGAGCATCTTATTGTATTACACTTCAACTTTTAGAATATTGTTCAGCTGTGATCACTTGATATATATATTTTTTCAAGTGTTTTGGTTGTCAGACTGAAAAATCTGCATTACACATTATTTTGAATGACTTTATGAATATTCTGTCAGATAACCAAAACCAGGCATAAGCAATGTTGTGAATAAGAGTTTACTAATGTGTTTCCTTAATTTTCTCCCAGAAGTGAGTGATTTAATAAAAAAAGAATTTCAAATTAATATAGCCCTCCTTCAGTTCTGTGATTAATAGTTTAGTACATGTTCTCTGCCATGTGCAGCTGGTGTTTGTTTGTCAATATTATGAGTTAAACATTTTTTCAAGGATTCCTCTTGTGTGACTCGATACTGCTTATTGGATTTAGGATCATTACAGCCCAAATGTAGTTACCATGGTGGAAAATAGTTTCAGTAATTTTATTACAAACCCCACTCCTCCCCAGTTTTCTTCTGTTACTTATAACTAAGGCTGCGTTTTAGTCGTGGGTATTTTTAGTAAAAGTCATGGACAGGTCACGGGCAGTAAACAAAAATTCATGTCTGTGACCTGTCCATGAATTTTACTATATATCCCTAACTAAAACTTGGGCTGGGGCACCGTGGGGGTGGGCGGGTGGCGGCACCCAACCCCTGACCTATGCTGGTGCTGGAGGATGGGGGGCGGGTGGCGCATGGCCCAAGACCCCCGCTGGTGCTGAGGGGTGTGGGTGGCAGGCTCCCTACCCAGCTCTGATTGGCATTTCCCTACAGCTCCTAAGGGAGAGGCGGCCAGGGGGGCTCCGCGCACTGCTCCCGCCACAAGTGCTGGCTCCGCAGCTCCCATTGGCCGAGAACCACAGCCAATGGGACTTACGGGGGGTGTCACCTGCGGGTGCGGGCAGTGCACGGAGCCCCCAGCCCCTCCGCCTAGTAGCTGCAGAGACATGCCAGTGGGAGCCGGGGAGCCCCTCCCCAAGTAAGTGCCGCCCCGCACCCCAACCCCCTGCCCCAGCCCTGAGCCCCTTCCCACACATCCAAACTGCTGCTGCTGGCCCAGGGGCTGCCCAGCTCGGGCTGCTCAGCTCGGGCAGCCCCTGATCTAGCACCAGCCACTGCAGAAGTCATGGAGATTATGGAAAGTCACGGAATCTGTAACTTCTGTGACAGACTCGCAGTTTTACTTATAA